TTGTTCTGGTTGCTAGAATTGGGCTACATGTTAGGGGAGCGTTTGGTGTTGTTATGACACGTTGGATAAATTTAAAATCTGTTATGGCCATATATTCAGGTTTTATCTCTCCATCTAGCACCAAATGGTTTTAAGTTGGATGCTTAGTGGAAGGGTTTAGGCAGATAATTTTCACTGGTTCTTAAAGTTCTCTCACTGTTCCCCCAGCCTCAACTTTGCCTCCTAATTTGCAGGCAACACTTGGCCTTGCTTTGGAGATTTTGCTGTCTGAGGAGATAGGAATGGTTGACCTTCAGCAAGGTGTGGGACGCCTTATAAATGCAATAGTTGCCGTTCTTGGTCCTGAGCTTGCCTCTGGCAGCATTTTCTTTTCACGCTGCAAGGTATCGTCATCTCTGTAATTTCCTTTTGATTGAGACTGCTGAGTCCTTGAGTTAGATCAGTATATCATTACATTTCTTGATTTTATCTCAAACTTTGGTGCACATATGTTGAATTTTCTTTTCCAGTCTGTTGTTGCGGAGATTAGTTCCTCACAAGAAACAGCTACACTACTTGAGTATGTTCTGAACTTTGTCCTATTTCTCTATTTTCGCTTGCAACTGTACTACTATGCAACCATTGCTGGAGTTGATTTGGACATTTGGTAGAATTTAATGTTCTACTTTCTTAATGGATGATAATTGATCGGCTATCAATCTTCCAGGAGTGTCCGTTTTACACAACAGCTTGTTCTTTTTGCACCACATGCTGCTTCGGTGCACTCCCATGTCCAAACACTTCTGCTGACTCTGTCATCAAGACAGGTTCTTTCCTCTTTACTTTGATAGTTCTCAATGAAATAGCTTATGTTTGGGTTCAATCCACATTTAAAAGCAGATTTCCTTTGAAACAGCCGACGTTAAGGCATCTTGCAGTCTCCACTCTACGACATCTCATTGAGAAGGACCCTGTGAGTAGTGAAGACATGTCCTCATTTCTATACTTTCCTTATGCTAATGCCTCATCTGTTTTTACAGTTTTGGATTCTTGTATTGATGGTGTCCCTTGTAGGTTTCCATTATTGATGAACAAATAGAAGATAATCTGTTTCGAATGCTCGATGAAGAAACTGATTCAGAGTATGTTAAGAATGCACATTTCATTTTAACTTGGTTTTTGACTATCAGAATGTTCAAGTGGCATGAATGTTAGGGCCTATACAGTTCTTATGTTTGTAATGTGTTTATTTCATTGTTTCTTTTTCTTTGTTAGTATTCTGAATGTGCTATAACGATTCTATCTACTTTACTTTTACGTGAATTAATTGCGGTAAAAGAAGGTTTAGGTTGTCCACATATGTTGAATATTACCTCTCTTGTAACGGGAGAGTTTACGTTGGTTTTTGACCCAGTTGATCTTCCCTCTACATATTTTGAATGAGTTGGACCCTTATTTATTCTCATTGTGTATGTTAGATGTTTTCTATTAGCTGAGTTTTTTGTTGTTTCTCCCCATTATCTTTTTTTAATGAAATTTCCTTGTTATCTTGCTTCCTATTCTGTGGATCTTTTTTTCTTTTTTAAAGATATACATAGTTAATGCATGCTGCAACCAAGCATGTATTGTGCATATCATTGTAAATGACTACCAAACTTGCAATGAACTAAGTTTTCTCTTGAAGTAGCAAAATTAGTAGGATGGCCATATGAGTGGGCGGAAGAGAAACAGAGGAGTAGAACATTGGTAGTAATGATCTAGGCAGTGACTTTTGATTTCTCTTAAATGGTTTTTGGTATGAGGTGATCACCCCAAAATTGAAGTTATCTACAGTCAGTGATTGGATCACAATGTTTGGTAGGAACTTGGTGATCCTACGTGACCTGATCTTAGGTCATCGAGATTGTTTAGATCATTGCCTTGAGAGGTGATCTAAATCCTATTGGAAGCTGTCGCTAGGTGTGGTGATCTGTGAAATTGATCTATGGACAATTTATCTTCTAACATGTGCCTAAAAGGCTTACTCCCTCTCCAAAGTTTCAGTTATTTTTATGTAGTAAACTTTTGCCCTTACAAATATTTATTTAACCCCACCTTTAGGTATGTTTTCATGCTCCTTCCCACTTAATTATTTATTTATTTTTGTTTTATACAATTTTGTAGCAAATTTATTACTCTCTCTCTCATGTTCTTGTCTATCTTTTATTTTTGTGATGTCTTAAAATTGCATCTTCTTTCCATTTTCGATTTTCTATGTTCCACATCAATTTTCATATTTTTCAACTTTTTGGCATTTAAAAACTATTGAATGTCATTATTATAAATAAACTTTTAACTTTTTAATTTAAATCATGCGAAAGTTGATGCTTTTTCTTAATCTCTGTGCCAAGTCAAACATTGGCAAAGAAAAAGGGGAGGATGAAGTGTTATTTAATGTATTTTATCTTCTAATTCAAAGTTCTTTTCTTTAATTTATTTAATAGTGTCAAAAGTTATTTTGTAGAAGATACTGATAAATAATTTTTTCATATTGGTTGATTGCATATTTAATTATACCTTAACTAAGAAATTAAATATTTGTGTTTTAGAGATTGTTATTTGAATACAGTACTTTGAACTTTATAATAAGATTGCTTTGGTTAAATTGTAGTAAATGAGATCTTGGTTTCTTGTGATATAAAACACCTTTAAATCATACCAAACATGGTAATTTTTAATCACCAGTAGTAAGATCATTGTAGTATTTGGATCACCAAGGTGATTAAATCACCATGGTGACCTGGATGATGATACCAAAAACTACCTTAATTTATTCAAAAGAATTCCTCGGATTCCCCTATTCTCTTTTCCTCTTTTGTAGCCTCTGTAAACTAATCAATGTTGATTTCATTTGTTCATGTTTTTATTTTCTTAAATGGTTACGGTATCATCGCCAGTCATAATGCTATGTAGTTGTCGGTGTTTGACAAGTTATCCTTGCAACAAGAGAAAACAGATATCTTTTCTGCACAGCAATTTTATCCCCCTATATTCCTCCATCTTTTTCCCTTCCTCGTTTGATGCCATTCTAATCAATTAATGTTTTTCCTCTCTCTCTCTCTCTCTCTCTCTAAAATGTAAGGTGATAGTACCACTTACAATTGTAAGCTGTGCAGATGATGCTGTTTCTTGTCTTGCTAGGAAATTCTAATTATTTGTGTTGTGCATGCGTGGGTGCTGAGTGGGGGTACACGTGCTTGTGTCATTTATTTATTCATGGTTTTGGACAAAGCAACAAGAAACGAAAAGAGGTTCAGCAGTGGGAGGGGACAATAGTTAGTTTTTAAATGCTGTTGTATAGTAGGATTTTCCTTTTATGTAAGGCTTCATATTTAAATTGTTTCTTTCATTTCTTTTATTATTTTCTTTCTTTTTGTAGGATAGGGAATTTAATCCGTGGTACTATCATACGACTGCTTTACGTTTCTTGCCCTTCACGTCCTTCTCGTTGGATATCAATTTGTCGTAACATGGTGAGTTCTTTGTGCTTCAAAATATTGTGCCATATTGCCCCCCAAAAAATACCATCTGTTTAATTTATGCAAAACTTCTCCGCTGTGATAAATATCTTTTGATATAGAATGAGGTGTTGTTGCAGTTGATCTCAATGTGAAAGGGATGTTTGTCTTGTTACAGAAGCCTGATTGCCACATTTTTCTATTGATTTTAGTTAGTATTTTTCAGCAATTCATGTTTATGTTTCTGTTCAATGCCGAAGAGGATTTTATATGCTTGTTTAATTTTAATCTTCTAATAACTTAGCTAATAGCATTTAAAATTCTATATCCTTATTACCCAAGATATGAATAGCATATGATGTCCGTGAGATCCTCTTTAGAGCATTTTCTTCTTTTTGGATGTTGTTGGTGTAGTTCATTAAATGTGTTCGGAAAAGGTCTGTCATCGCTGGAAAAGGAAACTGGAACTGTTAAGCTCATACAGTAGTTAGCAGTTACTTGATTTCATGTTTTAGCTGTGCAAATTATGAGCACAATCTAAACTGAGTTTCTCCTTGTTCATTAGTCAATTGTTGTCCCTGTTGAAAATTGCTGCTTTCTTTCTTCTAAAGATAAACTTTTGAAGCTTTTTGAACATTGGCTATCTGATGGCTTCGGATCAAGTGTGAAGAAGGTTGAAGATCTGATGGCCCTAGGTAAATTTTTAAGATAAGGACACTTTAATGTGCTCTTCTTATCTAGGTCTAATGGTAGGCTGGCTTAGAATGTGCATTTCTTGAGAAATACACAAGGTTGGGATCTGCAGGCTTTTTTCTGACTTCTGTTGACTTGCTCTGCAACAAGATGTGGGATTTTTCCCAGAACATATGCCCTGGATATGGATTGGAGACTTGTCAGTAGAGGATGTGATGTAGACGAGTAATCCAAAACTCACAACACTTGAGAAAGTTTTCAAAATTCTCAACCAAATTCTCAAACATAAATACCAAATACTAAAATATCCAGAAAATTTCTGTAATTCATCAACTAAGCCTACCTGAAACTAAAATAAATAACCCTAAATCCCTAATACTTAGAGAAGAAATAAAATAATAATAAATATAAAACAACCTAAATAATCGAAAATAGCCTAAATAAATATAAAGATTACAATCAAACTCATAAAATATAAAATGAAATCCTTGATAGCTTGATCTCTTAACTAGCACATTTCCATCCTCCATCATTCTCCCTTGGTTGGAGAAAACTCGATCTTGAGTTTTGAAAAATTGAAGCAGAAAAAGTTTTCAGTAAGGTCCATGAACAGAAGTGTCAAGTCTAGACTTCACTAACAGCATAAACATCTTCAGCAAAGCAACTTGCACAACATTTTTTAGCACACTTGGAATGATGAAGTCAATGGAAGAACTATCATCAGTAGCAATGGGCTTAATCTCAATAATTGGAAGAATAAAGTCCATGGACGAAGGATCTTCACTACGCATCACTTGAACAAACTCCTTAGGTGCTTGGACAGCCATAAATTTAGTTTCCAAATCTATAGATTCAGCATTCTCATTCCCCACATTTTCAATTTTGAGCAATTCATGTTGCATTAACTCATCAGAATCTACCTCATGCATCCCATCTCTTAAACTCTCAAAATTCACTTAAAGGAACTCTCTTAAAATCTAAGATGCAGATCTTGTTTTGCTCTAATACGATGTAGGACAAGGAATCCAAAACTCAAAATACTCAAGAAAGATTACAAAATTCTTGACCATATTCTCAAATATCAACATGAAATGCTCAAATATCCAGAAAATATCAATAATTCATCAATCTAAGCCTACCTGAAACTAAATAGCTTTGGTGTTTATAACTAAAACCTAAAATCCCGAGAAAATGTAAAATCCCAAATAAAATCCTAATGCCCTAATACTTTGAAAAGAAGTAAAATAATATAAAATAACCTAAATAATCTAAAATAGCCTAAATAAGTGTAAAGTTTACGATCAAACCCATAAAATATAAAATAAACTCCTAGATAACTTGACCTCTCAACTAGCATGTTTTCATCCTTCATCAGGATGCTTTGAGGGTGAAAATTTTCCATAGAAATTGATGAGGAGAATTCAAGTTAATGGAATGTAAATTTACCTTGGAAAGCAGTCTGGAGGAAGCAAGCCCCAACCAAGCGGTTTTTGCATGTGAAGCATGTTAAGAATTTTGACGCATGATAACCTTCATAAAGGGGAAAAATTCATCTGAATGTGTGCTTTGTGTGTAAGGCTGCAGCTGAATCAGTCCATCTTCATATTTAAGTTTCTCTTGTGCAAAAAGGATTTGGTCACCTGCTTTTGTGATGCTAGGTATCTTTTGGGTTTTAATGGGCTCAGTAGAAAGGTGTCATGGGCTTGGAAGGATGTGTATCATTGTATAGATAGGTGAAAATTGATTGAGTTTACGGTACTTCTCTGTTTTTTGCCTTGCATGGAGGGATCACAAAAAAGGGCCTCCAAGAAGAGGAGGGATTTTTGGTAGGCAATGGTGCTTGGTGGTATAGGGTGACTTCGAATTTATTGATTTGTCTACTGTAAAAACGTGTCTTGTACTTGGTTGCCCTTGATGCCCATTAAAATTTTTGTTCTATTCACTTAACTAAAGGGAGATTCAAGGAGGGTTGGCAGTAAGATTAACTTTTACTTTTATCTTCAGTTATTTCAGGCGATTGGGCCTTTTATTCCAAGCTGGGAGGATATAAATCAGATGGCTTGGTTATATGATATGTGGGACACTTGACCATATGTTTCTTAAGGGCTGAAAATGCCTTCTTCCAACATGGTAGCACTCTCTGGTCTTGGAATAATTAGTTTGACCTTAGTTGAAAAAGGTGAAGGAGAAAAACTTGTCTTGTGTGTGTATGTCCTCTTGTGGCATCGCATTGTGTTAATGATGGTGTTTGCAGAGAGTTTGTAACATGTTGCAACGATTACTATTCCTTTGGCGTATGAAACGTTGTTGAGGTGTTTGCACCTTTGGTCTTTTGTTTTTTTATTAAGTTGTTCACGTAAATTAGTAACAGAAGAATTTTTTTTCCAACTTTTGCTCAGGTCCTTGCTATGTCAACAAGAGCAACTGCTGAGATTAGTAAAAGTTCAGGGAATGATTCAGTTAGTGGTCCAGATGGTGACTCAAGGTTAAATTTTGGAGACGATGATGAAAACATGGTCTATAGCTCTAAAAATATGTTTCAAGGTCATGCATTTGAAGCTTCTAGTGTTGGCTGTAATAGAGATAAGCACCTCAGATACCGAACCAGAGTTTTTGCTGCTGAGTACGTAAATCTGCTGTATCTTTATACTTTGCTAATCTTGTTTCCCCAGTCATGATTTACTGATTGTCAATGTTATCGGAACCTAGTAACTGATCTAGTTCTACTGCTGGTTGTTATTCTGTTCAAAACAATATATCTAGGCAAAGCTTTTGAATGATACCCAGCTCACACAATATTTATGCTTGTGGAATGTTTGCTGGCATACTCATTATTCTACCTGTTGGTTTATGTTATGTTGAATGAAGATATAGTATTTAGGCGGTAAATAATGCTGTGAATTTGTTAATATGATCCAAAATGCAATTTGTTGCATTGCCTTTAAGCCGTCTTGTTGTAAAATCTATTAAATTGGACTACTTCTAAAGTTCTTTGCTTCCCACGTGGAACCCAAATGATCTAATTTCTATGAAAAGAAATTTCAAAGTTGTAATCTGAGCCTCAACCCAAAAAAACCCTGAATGTGTAAGTCTATAAAACATGCAAAATGCATCTGTAATATATTGAACAAAATGTCACTTTTCTGATTGGTTTTGTCTTTATCAGTAAGAAGATCTTCTTAGTTAAATAACTTGCTGGTGTATAGGTGCTTGAGTTATCTACCAGAAGCTGTTGGAAAGAATCCTGCTCATTTTGATCTTTCTTTAGCAATGAGAAAAGTTGCAAATGGACAGGCCTATGGTGATTGGCTAATCCTCCAAGTTCAAGAGCTAATATCAGTTGCTTATCAGGTTCTAAATAAAAAGTCATTAGCTTGTAAACATCTTTCTGATCAAAGGTAATTAAATTTGCATGACAGCTGACATTTAATTTTTCTTAATGTTATATTTTGTAGATAAGCACAATTCAGTTCGAAAACATGCGTCCAATTGGTGTTGGACTTCTAAGTTCAGTTGTAGACAAGGTAAGATGGGAAATGCTAGTTCTAAAGTTTTGTTAGGTATTTTCTTCTGTTAAATACCAGTGGAGCTCTTGAATAAATATTTAGTGGCATAAAGTAGATACATTTGAGCAATGCAAATATTCCTAATCTGCATCTTATTTTGCTGACTGAGTAATATGTCCTTGCTTTATCTGTACCAATTGATATTCTCTTGTTATATGTTCTCTTCACCAATAATTCCTTTGGCATTAGTCTCCAACTAAGTGAAGTATTAATGGGTTCAATTAGACGTATAACTTTGAATTTAGAGTTCTCGGGTTCAAATTTTGAGAAGGGTGCAGGAGGGATAAGCTATTGAATGTTCAATGTTGGACAGTGTTACTTGGTTTCTGGTATTTGACGTCTTTTTTCTTCTTTCAGTTTGAAACGGTTCTTGACCCTGAACTTCCAGGACATGTTCTACTAGAACAGTATCAAGTAAGCTGATGAAGTTGTTCTATATTAGTATTTTCTCTAAGGATGTCAGATATCAGTAGACCTTGATATGGTGCAATGTGTATGATTAAATGAGTTAAATTTGATGGATTAGTAATTAATTAAACATTTATGAAATGCAGGCACAACTAATATCTGCTGTTCGCACTGCATTGGACACATCATCTGGCCCTATTCTTTTGGAGGCAGGTCTGCAGCTGGCTACTAAGGTGAGAACATTGTATGTTTACTGCAATGTCTGCAAAAAATTATTGTGAACATAAATGTGGATGAGCTGACCTGTTACAATTTCAGATAATGACAAGCGGAATAATTAGCGGTGATCAAGTTGCAGTAAAACGCATATTTTCACTAATATCACACCCGCTGGATGACTTCAAGGACCTATATTATCCTTCATTTGCAGAATGGGTCTCATGTAAGGTATGTTCATTGCAGATAGATGGGTTTTCTGTATAGAAAAGATCCATCTCACATCATTGGTACTAGTAGAGAGCGGAGGTCCTCTCTATTTCTCTTGCTTTTTATGCTTGTGGTATTGCTGTTTACAAAGATGAAGCTCTTATTAATTTACTGAATTTAAAATAGATCAAGGTAAGACTTCTAGCTGCTCATGCCTCTCTCAAGTGCTATACTTATGCATTCTTGAGGAGACACCAAGCTGGGGTTCCTGATGAGTATCTAGCATTATTACCATTGTTTTCAAGAAGTTCAAGCATTCTGGGGAAGTACTGGATCTGGCTTTTGAAGGACTATTGTTATATATGCTTGCGCTTAAATCTCAAAAGAAATGTAAGCTGAAATGGTTCTGAACCTGTTAATTTTGATGGATATAGAATACACACATACACACACGCACACACAAAAACGTATATATTGTATAAAGTATAATAAAATAAAATTTTTGTGCTCACATCTTGCAGTGGAATTCATTCCTTGATGCAATTCAATCACGTCTGGTCTCATCAAAGTTGAAGCCTTGTTTAGAAGAAGCTTGGCCAGTTATTTTGCAAGCACTTGCTCTTGATGCAGTTCCTGTGAATGTTGATAAGATTGGAAACTCAGAAGCTGCTGTTGAAAATATATCAGTAAATAGTTTAGTATCTGGCTACAGTATGGTTGAATTGGAATCCGAAGAACATCAATTTCTGTGGAGCTTTGCTTTGCTTGTTCTATTTCAGGGACAACATCCAGCCCTTTGCAAACAAATTATACCATTAGCATCCAGTAAAGCAAAACATGAAGGAGCTTCTCCCGCTGAGGACATGACTTCTCCAGGCTTGAAGTTTTATGAAATTGTTTTGCCAGTTTTCCAGTTTCTTCTAACTCAGAAGTTTTTCTCAGCTGGTTTTCTTACTGTGAATATCTGTGAAGAACTGCTCCAGGTTGTGATCTCTCTCTTTCCATTTCCTGTTTATTTTAATATTTGTTAGCATTCCTTGGTCTTTTTATCATTTGTAGTTTATTTATCTGTTTATTGGTCAATTTCTAGATTAATCAAAGGGGATGCATTTATTTGGCTTCTCAGCATCAAAATTTTAGAAAATGTATTGTGCTACCTAAAACATTATTTTATTCTATAATCATGCTTTCAAGTTGCAATATTTGGATGGAAATCGATATGGGTGCCTGTGCAATCAGTCTAACCTATGCTCTTTTGAATGTGTTGTTTGCTGAAGTTACTACTATGCTAAGCAGAGACTGTGTGTACTATAGATGATTTATTTATTTATTTTGTTCATTTCTGTAGAATTGTTTCCATAGGTAGTTTTGACTTATTTTGATGGGTACGCAAGGATGATGGTGGTATTTGGTATTGGTTATGGTAATTTTGATGACAGTAAGGACTTTGATGGGTTTTTACCAGTAAGGGCACCTTGTAGATGGTGACAATAGTCGTCTGGAATTGAATGGCTTGATTGATAACTCTTTGACTATGAAAATATTACTGGGAGAAGGAGAACGCCAGCTTTAAAAGCCTGAAGAAAAGAAAAGGAACAAGCAAAAGAAAAAAAATGGCAATTTTATGGAACATGTAGACATGGCTTACAAATTAGCTTCACTAATGACTGCTAGTAGACAGCATTATGTGTTTAACCAAATTACTCTTATTGTGCAAGTTTAAAGATCACATTAACACCAAATAGAAATTGAGGAACTTGCATTAGACATTCTAAAATAGTTTGATCTTCCAATGCATTTATTCCATTTTGCTATTTAGGCTTTAAGAATCAACATGTGTGACAAACAGTATACATCATTTCTTCTAAAACTGCATTTAAGGTCAAACAAGATATTTAGTTTGGTGCAATAATTTCAGTCTAACTACTACCATTGTGCTATAATGATTCCTTCTATCAAGGTTGGCAAATATTTTGACTATCATTTTGTCATTTCCAATCCATGCAGGTTTTCTCTTATTCTATTTACATGGATAATTCATGGAACAGTCTTGCAATATCTGTTTTATCCCAGGTAACCCTCTGTTCAATTGAAAGCAATTCAGTTTTTGTGTTAAATTTGATGATCATAAAGGCATCTCTTTGTTTTTCTTTTGGTCTTTTTGCGGTCTTGATGGACAAAAGCATTCACCAAGCTGATATGAACCTATGAGCATATTATGCAAGTGGCCAACTACTCGACTCTTGCTTGAGTTTTGAGGATGTGTTTTCATTATTAAATTTCCATCTCTTTACCATTATGCATAAATTCAATCTTCTTGAAGTGATATTTTTGCTAAAAATTATTTAAAATTAATTTTTTTTGTCATCCCTTTTTTAATATGCATTTTGGTACTTACATTATTGAATTCCTTCCTTGACTTCATTAGAATTGCCTTATATTGTTAGGTTATGAACTTCTGTCAGTTTTGCATAATGATTGCTGAGTTATTAGTTTTAGTTGGGTAAGTTTAAAATGCTGAAATATTATAGGGTTGATGCTGAGAGTTTTATTTTCTATTTCTTTCAATAGATTGTGCACAACTGCCCTGAAGATTTCCTTGGAGCGGAAAATTTCACTTGTCAGGTGGTGGAACTTTGTTTGGGTTGCCTTTTTAGAGTTTATAACTGGTATAACGTTTACCTTGATCTCTAAAGTAATTTCAGTAGATGGCTAGACAAATGCTTCAAAATTGTAACCTCGGCTATTAATTTCTTCTTTTCTGCATTCAGTGCTAGTGCAATCTCACTTGATCAAGCCAACTGGGAGGATTTAATTTCACCACTATTTATTGCTACGAAGACCATAATGAGGCGTTCTGAACCAAAAGTGCGCTCAGTGTCCTTGTTTCTCTTGTGCCATAAATTCCTTTTCTTGCTTTTGTACTGAAAGATTTGTCTTTGGCATTGTGCCACTTTTATTGGTTATTGTTTTAATTGCTAAGTCATCTCACCACTGAATCACATTGTGTCAAGATGCAGAAGCAACTGAATTCAGTAGCGCTGGCATTTCTGTTGATTGGTTACAAATTCATTAGGCAAGCTTCAACTGAGCTATCCCTCTCGAAAGTTACTGATTTTGTGAAGAGTGTGAATTCCTTTTTGAAGAAACTTGTTGATGGTGAGCATTTTTCCTGTTTTTTTTCTGCCTATGTTTCTAAGATAATATACATTTATGTTTTTCAAACATGGAATTTCTTTTGTTTTTATGGGTCATTAATATGATCTAGTTAAGGTATTAGAAATTAATATCTAATATTCATTAGATTAATCAGTGAATATTTTTGTGATTTAGTTGAAATTTCTCAAAATATTAGTGTTCTAAACATCAATTCATGTTATGTCGAAAATTGATTTGGGTGCTTCAATCTTCGAATTTTGATAGTATTTCATCATCAGCATATCAGGAAAATATTTATGCCGTCCAGGTTGAAAAGAGTGTTTTTCTTGTTTCCTTTTTTTTTTTTTTTGGGTGGGGAGCTGGGGAGGGGAATTGGAGGATATCAGTCTCCGATAAAGTTCTCATTGGGATTCTATAAATACTTTAGATGAAGTCTCAAGATTAAAATGAGAAAATATTAGTGCTATCAAGCCAAGTAGTAATTAATCATCAATAACAAAAGTTTTGTAATTAATGCATTGCTGTACTTTAAAGTTTTTAGGTAAAAGGGGAAATTGTGTAGAAGTAAGAAGAATGATAAACGGTGTTCAAAGAATCGTGTTTAATCAGTAAGCCTGTGGAATTAACAGCAATTATGGAACAAAAATAACACTGTGCTTATGCTGTAGCTATTGTGCTTATCCTGTACCCGCATTCATCATCTAGTTCATTGCAGAATACCACATTCCATTTTGGTTCTTTTTTGTTTTTTCGACAAACGATCTTGTAAACAAGCGTGCGCACACATATATATTGATGAATAACTGTACATACATCAACTAGCATGATAATTCAGTTAGATTAATAGCATTGTCACATATATCAGATATGATTTTGTCTATTAGGCTGTTGACTCATTGATAACTGCATGGGGGCTAATTGGATTTTATATTACAGATGCTTCTAAGCTTGGTGATGATGCCATTGTCCACCAGAGAACAATTTTGTGCACTTCTCTAAATGAGATTACTGGTTTGACTAAGGATTGCATCAAAGGCATTCATCTACTGCATGATAAGAGATCTGACTTACGCAAACTACTGCTATTGAAGCTTGCATTCTCTATGGAACAGATAATTATATTGCCCAAGATAATGCTGGAAATTCAATGTCTAGAAGGCAACAAAGATAGTGATCCTGTCTATTTCTCGGTGTTTAAATTTTGCGCTAATTGTATGCAAACAATACTAAATGACTCAAATGTACAGGTACTTAAGCTTTTATGTGTTCAACGTCTAGGTTTACAGGCCTGTTTTTATGTACAAAAGACTGAGATAGATAATCAAAAACTTTTGGGGCACAGGTTCAGGCAATTGGGTTGCAGGTGCTGAAAAGCATGGTGCAGAAAAGCATCACTGTGGAAGACAATAGTTCCATAATATTCATTATTGGAGAGCTGGTTGGGGACATTCTCACCATAATAAAAAACGCATTAAAGGTGCACCTTCTTTTGTTATTCAAAAATTTAAATCATGTTGCTGCTTGCTGGCTAGTGTTTTGAGCATTTGCGTGATTTTTGGTGACAGAAACCCATGACTAAAGAATCAGTTGCTATTGCTGGGGAATGCTTACAAGTCCTAATGCTCCTGCAAACAATGTCAAAAGGGAGTGAATGCCAGAGACAGTTCATGAGTCTCCTTCTGGAAGCCATTCTTATGATCTTCTCAGCATTAGAGGATGATTGTTCTCAGGTAATTTTTTCAAGAGCCTTTTACATTTAGAATTGGAACTACTATTTTTATTGTTGTTTTGAACAACCTTATTATTATGTGGGCAGGAAGTCAATGACATAAGAAGCACTGCCCTGAGGCTTGTTTCTCATCTTGCTCAAATTCCTTCTTCTGCTGGTCATCTCAAAGATGTCTTGTTATCAATGCCTGAGATGCACAGACAGCAACTTCAGGTGTTTTTCTTGCTATTTTCTTCTATATGGATGACAAGTTTGTCTATGGCAGTTGGAAGAAAAGGAAAATGAGACAGCAGCTCTGACATGTAGCTAAAATTTCAACTTTGCTCACTTGGTTAACTGTCTTGTTAGATGGAACCTGATGGCTTTTTGTGCTTCAATAAACAAAGATTGAATTGCACCAACAGTTTTTGTCAACATGTTTCTGGTAGAGCAATTGATTGAAAATATTCAAGAATTTCCTCAAGTCTAAATTACACTGCTTTGCTGATAGAAATAGGAAATTTCAGTCTTTGTTGGTATAATTTGATGATGTTGCAATTTCTTATTTCTATTATAATAGATTAGAAGAGTTAAATGGAAGAATTTGTTTAGAAACAATTGATGTTAATGAAAGAATAATGCATTTGACAATCACCATTCTTGTTTCAGGGGGTTATTCGTGCTTCTGTAACACAGGACCACGATGCAGCACAAATGAAATCTATGTCACCAGCATTAGAGATAAAACTACCAGTGCCAGTGGAAGGAAGAAGAGAGGACAATTTCCTATCATCAGCCACTCAAGTAAAGCTTAAACAGCAAAGTGAAGGAAGAGATTTACCTTCATCAGCCAACCCTATAAACACCAATAATGATGACATGGAAGAAGATGAAGAGGATGAAGATGATTGGGATACCTTCCAGTCTTTTCCAGCCTTGAAGAATACAGCTGAAAGTGATTCTGTAGTTGAAAATGCTGCAAAGGACCCAGGCCCTGATGAGAGCTCTTCTGCTTTGGAAATTGGTACTGGTGACTTTGAACAACATCCATCTGCTGAAAATCTCAGTAATGTAGGGACTGCTAATGCAGAGCATTCAGAGTTTCCGGCAGAAATAATATCTGATGGCTCAGGTGACACAGGTAAGATGGAACTACTTGACTCTCTATCAAACCCTGTTATTGATCCTCATGAAAATCAAGATCGAGAAGGAAACAAGGAACTAATATCAAGCACCAATAGTGAAGCCAGAGAAATTCCAATTAACAGCAATGAGAAAATATCATCTGATCTTCAAGTTGTTGAAGATGTGAAAGTATCATCTGTAGAGATAGAGGATTATGAGCAGAGAAGGGAGAACCCAGTAGCCTCAACCGAACCTCGACATAGTGAAGGTGATGAAGGATCAGTCAATGCAGTCGAGGATCATGAGCACCAAGAGGAGAGTCCTGATAATAAAGTTGATGCATCAGATGCTCAGGCTCCCGAAGGGCTTTCTGGTAACAAAGCCGAAGAGGAAGCTGAAGCTGAAATTGATCAGTTACAGAATAAGGAAGCTGGTGAAGATGTTAGAGAAAGAACAGAGAATAAGAGCAATGTGCAGGAAAGTGCGAGCCAAGATAACTTGGAACCACCAAACAAGGAAGCCGATAATGCTAATTTAGAATCTGGTGAGGGAATTGATAAGATATGAGTTATTTTTGGCGAGGAAAATATAAGTTGGTGTTGTGTTTTCGGGCGGACAACTGATAGTTCCTAGGAAGGCTTGGCATCACTAAATGCTCCAGTTTTGTATTTAATTGTGCATGCAGGATGGTGCAAATAAACCAAAAAAAGTGAATTGGATTTAGTACTTATCTCTCTGCTCTCTGACCTTTTTAAAATTTCCTTGTTCAGTACGAAACCAAGACTTTTATTTGTTTTTCCTCCTCCATGGATTTTACTGCCCTGACTCTTGTAGAAAATTTAATATTAATTCATTTTTGGAGATTATATATTGATTTGTGCCTCAACCCCCCACTTACTAAACTATGTGATAATGTCCAAGTTTAGACGTATTCTTGTGTGTCCCAAAATGTTTGCTCACGCACAAGGACAAAAATTACTCTTAGTAATAAAAATAGAAGACATTCAATTTATGGGTTTGTTTACGTTAATAGATTGATGAAATTTTAGTTTTGTTTTAGTTTTGAACGACGTTAATATCATTTTCCTTTTAACAGATATTAGAGATAAATGTTGCAACGCAAATTTTGTACAAGTTCATGCAGGATTGCTTTTATTATTTGCCTTTTTATTTTATTTACCCCAAGATAATATATATTACCAACATGTTGATGATAAAATTATATAAAAAGTAATTTTGACTTAGAATTTGTGACATGGTTTGAAGCAACTTATTTATTCTCAAAATCTTTATTACCAAAGACAAAAAAGAGAAAAAGGATCATGGATGAAATTTACCTCTAAATAATATGTATTAACAACATGTTGACTCAATTGATAAATTAGTTATCTAAAAAATGATTTTGAATTAGAATCCGTGACATGGTTTAAAATAACTTATTTATTCTTAGAATATTTATCACCAAATACAAAAAAAAAAAGAGATCATAGGCGAAATTTACCTCAAGACAATTGATAAAATTATCTGAGAAGTGATTTTGAATGAGAATCAGTAACAAGTTTCGTAATAATTTATTTATTCTCGAAACCTTTATCACTAAAAACCAAAGAAAAAAAAAAGACAATCTCCCACCTGAGGAAGTCTTTTCAGGTGAAATGGAAGTCTTGGGTTCAATCTTACAAAACTTGACCTTCCAGCTATTTTACAGAATAACTCTTTTATCTTTCTAGCTGCTTTTGCATATACGGAATGCTAACAATATATTAAAAGGCTACTCATTCAAAGGGCTTGAGTATTATTACATTCCATCGAGTAGGATAATTAAACTTTGGAGAAGGGATATAGTTGCTGAGAACAACGTCTAACTTGTGCAATAATAGTGAGAAGCTACTCCTACATAGGGAGACCTTCCGACTAAGGTCCGTGGCCGAGGTTAACTAACCATCTAACTTTCACCACCTTTGCACAAGACAAGTAACTAGCTGCTTCTTGCTCAAATGAGTGTTCCATACAGATTTCTTATACATTCCTTCCCTGCACAGAGAACCAAATCTGATAGGAAAATGATTCAGGTTTTGGCCCAAAAAATTCCAAGAGGGGAGAAGAGAGAGTGAAAGAAACGAAAAGGTAAAGAATATATACCTGATCTTTTATGATTTTCAGAGCAAATATACTTCTAGCATGGCCCTGCTCTTCATCAGCTTCTTTATCTCTACTGTTTTCATGAAAACAATGAGAATAACTTGGAAAAGAAATTATAATATTCATGAGAAACTTTGTATAGGCCTGTATTTGGAAGCTCTACAAATTATGAATGATAATCTGCTGGCTGGGTATTTATAAGTTGTTGGCTACAAGTCAATAATGCGTACCTCCCTACAACGCACATTTTTTTTTACCTTACTTTTACCGTTTGTATTTATAGTCAATTCAGATTTCACTTTATATTTGATGGTTAAAAATGTAAAAAGTTTTATTGTAAAAAAAAGAAAACAGCTATTTTGTTTGTTATTGTTAAATTATACTTTTCCTGCTTTTACTCTCCCATGATGAGTGATTTTGCATAGAGCAATTTCACTCCTTGTCCCCAAACTATGGGTCTAACCATATTCATCCTCACATTTCGAAATACCACATTTTTTATGCTAAGTTTTAATTTGATTAAATTACTTTTTTAATTATTTAATTTTTTTTATTTTGATCATTCAACTTTGAATTTTGATGTTTTTTTTAATATCATTTATAAGTGTTACAATTTTAATCACTAATCATCAAAAAGATAACGAGCACCTCATTTGTCATTTCATGTCATTATAAATGGAAATTGCTCTGTTAGGTAAATCAATCCATACGAAAATAATTTTAAAAAAATATTTTTTAAAAAAATATTTTTTAAATTTTTTATTATCATGTAGACACAGTTACATGGCAAAGCAACTAATGTATAATACCATGTTGAATGTCTATTATTTTTTAAAAATTGAGTGGCCAAAATAATAACATTTAAATATTGATGATCAAAATGTTATTTTCAAAATTGATTAATAAAACAAAAAAATCTCAAAAAGTTAAGTGATCAAAGAGATAATTTACTCATTAATTAAAGTTATTAGTTAAATTTATGAAATGACATTATATATATATAAAATGAAAATTCAAAAATAAAATTACCATATTTTCAATTATAAAGATAAAACATGTGCAATTTATGCTTAATTATATGACAGTTAGGTGAGTCGTTGCATATGTAAAAGCTACAGGGTCGACTCATGGGTAAGGTCACCAAGGGCTTAAGACTCCAAATTTGAGGAAATTTCATAATTTTATAACAATTATAATATAATTAATTATATTAAAAATATTTAAAAATTAATAATTAACAAAACATTTACATATGATCTCTTATGCCTAATACATATGATCAAATATCTTTATTTTTAATTTGAGTCAAATAAACATTTATGATTAATGTTTGATGAACTGTTATTAGTTAAAATATCACTTATCATTTTATATCACTTGATACTGACGTGATATATTGACATATTATAATAGATGATAATATGGTATAATAAGGTAATCATATGATATTTTTTACTTTTCAAGTCAACATCACATTAATATCATATGAATATATATAACGATAAGTTTTTTTTTATTAATCATAATTAATCAAAGGTTAAATGAAATTATAAAAAAATTGATTGAATATAATAAAAAAATAAAAATTTATTTAATTAATTCAAGATTTTTTTCAAATATTATGTCAAAAGAGCAAAAGTAGAAAAACAAAACCAACCCTGACGCCCTGTTAAAAGCATTATTCAATCTTTCCATTTATATGATTTTTCAAAACAGAAAATCTTTCCATTGGTATCGTCTGCTTCTCGGTCTTTTCAACATTGGAATCAAGGAAGCAATAACTGATGGGCCATGCTTGTCCTTTCAGTCCTCGCCATCAGCATGCATTTGTGGCTCTGAACCTGTTTCATCACATACCTAACTTTGGTCCCGCGCTCTTAAAGCGGACGTTGATACGAGTTGCACAAATGCAAACATCATCGTCGTCGCCCCATACGCTGTCTGCTCGGTTTATATAAAGAGGTTTGAAATATTTCAACATCACCTCTAAATCTCACTGCTTATTTCCCTAAAAAGAGTTAAGAGTTTGTCGTGTGATTAAGAAGCTAACCACGGGTGAGATCCTGCCCATGACATGATGACAGCTTTATTTATAGATGCTGAATGCAAATTATTGAATCTTGCAAAGAAAACAACATCAAATGAGAAAATGATGTGTAATATTAATTTGGGTTGTTATGCAGAGTGAGTTTAATGCAAACACTGGCGTCCTACCTGCCCTAATAATTGAGAAAAGCACATTCGGTTGGAGTGTATGATTTTTTTTACTCAAATCTTATTCTATACTTATCACTTGAGTGTAACTCTAATTGAAAATATATAAAAAAAATTCTATTTTTAAGTACCTTTTTTTATATAAATTAATCAATCATTTATCGATATATGAATTTCATTTATTCATTCACGTGAGGGCCTCCCGAATGTACCTGGTAAGATACAGTGACTCATTGATGGATTAAAAGATATTTATAAAATATTAAAAGAAATTTTTTGCAATAAAATGTAATCAAGTACATGAGATATGCACAATTAATAATACACAAAGGACATATTATTTTAGTAGTTAAAATTTTTATTTACAAATTAAATAAATTTTATTAATATTTGTAATAAAAATATTTTTAATGGATGTTATTCGATATACTTAGAGTTCTTATGCATTTACAAATTAGATAAAATTTAATAACATTAATAATAATTTTAAAAAATATAATAAATAAATATGATATTTTCAAGCCATTTTAAAAAAAAATGATAATTTTCATGGATCAAAACAATTTTCAAGTCCGTGCTTTTACATATATTATTGATATAGAAATTAAATGGGAAGACTGAAAGAAAAGAAATTTGGACTATATATCAACTAAATATGTTTTTGTCTTAAAAATTGCATTTGCTAGTTTCTTTTTTAATTTCATTTTTTTAATCTTTTAAGGGAATGGGGTGGAATTAAGACCTACTTTTTTTCCTATTCTTTTCCTGGTGAAAACAATGAGAATAAAATTAATACAAAGCATTATATATATGTATAATATCATTATTTATGTATATTTGGAATATAAATAAATTAAAATTTAGGAATACAATTACATGTGAATAAGGTAATAATATATTTGCAACGCCTATTTAAAAAATAATATCAATCAATCATGTGTTATTCTATTTTAACTTTGATAAATAACATTTTAATTTTATTTTTAATTTTATTTCTTCTTATTATAATTCATTTCTTTTTTATTATCTATTATTTAAATATTAAGGATTTTCATATGTCTTCTCAACACGTCCCTGAGGTTTTATCGTCCGATTAGTTCAATATTTTATGAAAAGGGTTTCAATTCTTCTACTCCTTTTTATTCTTTTTCTTTTTCTTTTTCCTCCTTTTCTTTGATTTTTTAAGTCTTCTAGTTTTTTTATTTTCCTCAATCCTTTTTTAGTCCCATCTTTTGACAACTTTTATTTTTATTAATATCTTAAAATTTTATATCACTCTATTCATTTTTTCTTAAAGTTATCCCTTGATTTAAACATTTGTGACTTTTATTTAAAAACGTAAAAGACAATCTTTGATATTGAGAATTTTTAAAATTTTCTAACACTTTTGTTAAATTAAAAATTTTGTTAATATTTTTAATTTAAAAAGTTAAATTCATCAAATGTATCTAATAATTTTGTGATTGTTCATACCCTCGACAGCAAGTTAAGAAAAACTTTTAAGTAAGTATTTCACGTCTGGTCTCTTCTCCTTCTTTAATTCTTTGCTATTGTGTATGCTAAAGATCAATATACGCAAAGGAAAAAACAAAAAAGGAAATTATTGTGAATGTTAAATATCAATATAGAAAAAAAAATTGAAATTCAACATTTGAAAAGAGAAAGCTCAACAACTAAAATTTGAGATTCAACATTTTTATAAAGAGAGAGCTTGGCCATTGAAATTTGAGATTTTAACTTAAAAATATGATTTTTCATTAATCTTTAAGAAAGCGGATAAAGTTTTTATGATAATTGATGAAGATAACATCATCAATTGTGTAATATATATATATAACCAAAATTTAAAATAGGTTCAAATAAACTTTTTTTTTAAAAAAATTAGATTAACTTGAATTGTGTTAAGATTTTTGAAAAACTATAAAACTTTAGAAACCCTTCAAAATAAATATGCAACTTTTAATATTTAATAATCTGTTCGAAAACTAGATAAACAAGCTAACTACCTTTTATTTGGTCCAAAGACAAAAAGGAATAAAGGCTAAACATTTTAAAAAATGATATATTGAACATAATCAACAATTTAAAAATTCATAATAGATAATAATTTTATATAATATATATATTAAAAGAAATAAAAAAATTAAAACTTACAATAGTTTTTAAAAAGGTTATACTCGATAATGTTTCCGAATTTAAATTCACCAATTATGGACTCTATACTGAAAAAGTTAATAATATCTTTTTTAATATAAACAATTAAATTATTTACAATAAACTCATCATTTATTTTGTTTCAAAATCTTATTTTCATAATTTTCATTACTAAAAAGACTCTCTTTATAGTTATTGTAAAAACCGAAAGAGTCAAAATAAGACAAATTAATCTATCAATCAATTGATAATTTCTGTTTTTGCTAATTTTTAGTGGAATTTAAAAAGTGCCTTAATATTTTCCTTATCATATTTTCATAATAATGGTATGAATTAATGTTTTAAATATTTACTATACAAAATATTTTAAAAATTTTGGAAGCCACAGTTCCATAATTACACAACCATCCGCCCTCATGATAAACCATATTTCAATGTTGACTAACACAATGGAGGAGAGAAAGCTTATAAAAAAAAAAATCTTTAAGTTATATGAATTTATTTTGAAATACTTTTAAAAATTTCAAGTTTATTTTGGCAGCATATAATTCGTTGCCAGTCTGTAAGACTTATACCATAGCATGTATAAATCTTTGATTTATTTATTTTTTTTTATGAAAACTAAAGAATATTTAAATTAATTAAAAATAGATAACAAAATTATATCCAAGCCATCATATTAGCATTTTCGAACACTCCCATCTTAGCAAGAGAGTCCACAAAAGGATTGGTTTCCTTATATGCATCAACACATAATTCAATACCATATCACTCAAATATAAATAGGGAACTTGAGGTTGCTAATAAAAATATCGAGAAAATCGTTGAAAAACTGACCAATGTTTATAGAGATTGACACGAGACGTTTCTTTTTGCTATGTACAATTATCAAACCTAAGTGCAAACATCCATAAGAGTAACTCCATTTTTATTAGTATATGGAATAGAGCCAATACTACTAATCGAAGTGGAAATTCCATCTTTATGAGTGTTGATGGAAATCAAATTAAAAGAAGCCGATTGGGTTCAAGCTCATCATCAACAATTGAATCTCATCAAAGTAAAAAAAAAAAAAAAAAAAGGCTTTCAGCACTTTGTCATGGTCAATATATCAAAGGAGAAAGATGTAAGCTTATGACAAGAGGGTTCTCCCTAAATGCTTTCTAGAGGGGAAGTTGTTCCTTCAAACAATCCTCCCTAATCAACACAATCCACAAGGGAAGTGGGTGCAAATATGGAAGGCCCAGGGGTTTTAATTTTGGCTGACATGCATGGAAATAATTTGCAAACCCACTAAATGCTGATGCATTTGAAGAATGCGATGGTTGAGGAAAAAAAACAAAGGATAAGGCTCATACTAAAAACCAAGAAGAGCGGTTTGAATCAAAAGAAGCAACTTAGATAAGCCAAAAAAAAAGCTGAAAAGCCGACTTAGGTGTACGAAAGGCAACATGAAAGACATTGCAAGCATATATATGAGGGCAAGCGTGATAATTTCGCAAAGCAAGGGCAAGGTCATGGGTTTAAAAGGATTTGAAAATCAAAGAGATCAATGAAGGATTTTCTTGAACAAAATTTAGATTAGGTTATTCAAAATTTTTTTGAGTAATCTGTGTTTAAAGTATCTTTATCTGTCATGTACCCTTAATGTTCCAATGTTCTTTTAAGAATTGTTTATATTTCTTTCATTACCAAACTTAACAGCTTTACGGATGGAAAATTTTGTCAATAAAAGTAGAAAATTCCATCAATAATTTCAAATATCAATGGATTCTCGAAGAAATTATTTATCAGTATTCAATCGAAAATACCATCGTCAATAAAGGCCAATATATATGTTGGTATTTGAATATTCCTTTGGCAAATTCTCAATGAAATATTCTATCAAAAGCTCTATCGGTAAAGCCAATCCTTCGAAAGGATTATTTCTGTATTGATTGCATTCCATCAGCAAATTCCATCGGTAATGTACCAAGGAATTGTCGACAGAATTTAGTGTTTCAAATGCACGTAGATTCCATCGATGAAGTCCTCATTTTAATCAATGATTTGTTCATAATTTCATTGATAAATAGTCACTGGTAATAAAGTTGAATATGAGACCATTTTTTTATAAAAATTGAAATTGGTTGGTTTTGCTCATTCCCTGTTATCATTTCACATGTATAATACAAATATAAATGAATAATAATATTAAAAATGCTAATATTTATAAAAAAATATGTGTTTTTTAGATAAATAAAAAATACGATTTGTATTATTCAATATTATAATCAATAAAAAATATATAAATAAATAAACTTACAATCTGACTATTACCATCATCCCTTGATCACTCATCCTCATTATTAGAAGGGCTCAAGTGCTCTGATGGAAACTTGTAGTGGTGTGCTGGCATCATGTAATGGAGAATCTCCGCAATGCTCAACTTCACATACATCATCTCATCCCTTATATTGTCCACTTCTTCCTTCAATTATTGTAGTTACTTGGGATCCAATTGACAAGCAGCCACAACATTGCTAGAAGGGGTCAGACCACAAGCATACTTGAACATTTGAGCTACAACAAGTAGTGATGTAGCTGACACTTTAGTGCCAAACTCATAGATATGGGTTCGAGTGATTTGTGCTCTTCCAATAACCTTTGTCCAAGCTTATAGATCAAACTCCGGTTAGGATGATGGCTCTTGACCGTACTTCTGCGACTTTGGTAATATAAAAGCATAAGTTTCCTACAAAAAAAAAATTAGTAATTAATTTGTTAAATGAAATATAATGAAAATAAAAAAAAATTATATAACAAAAAATAAATTGGTCATTTTTATTACTTACACTAACGGTCTTGGACTTGTTGTCCATAAACTCTCCAATACACTTCATATGTTTGTAGGTGCGATCGAACAACTCGGAGAATGTCATTGGCCTACCCAACACCTCTGACTGCAATCACAACAAGACAATCATCACAATAATAGTGACATAGCAATCATCACAACACAATAAAAATATGACAACTCCCAAAGAATATATACCAATTTTCACAATGCAACAACAACCAAACAATATATACCAATACAAAAACAAAAAATATATGCTGTCATTCAACAAAATGACAAAACAGCCACTCTCTACATTGCAACATAGTGACAACACGATGAGAAGAACAACAATCACAACACAAGAACAACAAATGCATCATAGACATACAAAATATCCTGTTCTTATATATATATATATATATATATGTTTTGCAACATGTTTACTCACACAAAATCACAACAATTATTTTTGCATTATTCAACAACACAATGATAATGACATTCATATCATGGCAACTCATACGCAAATATATTAATACGAGTTAAGAATATGTACTATTCTTTTTGCATGTACGACCAAAGGTGAGGAACTATCTGTGTATTTCGATGTGTTGACTTCCTTCTTTGTCAAGTGATTGTCCTTGGTCTTTTGAGATCAGCATTGCCACTCTTCGTTGCCCCAAACATATCAATTAGCTGCACCTAGACTTTTACAATGATTTATGAGAAGGACATGTTGGATGTATAATGATATCTCATAAGGTTTTTATCTCACATTGCCTAAGTACAAAATATGTTAGTACTTTATATAAACAAATTCATTATGGGCTTGTTGCAAGCTAGGAAAAAAGTTATCTCGTGCACACGCAAGATCAGGCCAAGTTTGAGAAATCAGTTATTGATTTGATCTTTTAAATTATTTTATAAGTTATTTTTATAACATTATAAAATATTTTATCTTGATTTTCTCTATGAATTCTCCTTATAAATATCGACCTTCATATTCATTCTCAACACACCACACCTTTTCTTTTTTATTTTTTATTGTTCTTGTATCTCTAAGTTATTTTTATTACATTATGAAATATTTTATCTTGATTTTCTCTTGACCCCTCTCTTCATTCTCAACATACCACACCTCAATTCTTTCTTCTTCTTCCTTTCCACTTACACCTCAATTCTCTTTTCTTTCTTGATTGAATTAGTTATTGATTTGATCTTTCAAATTATTTTATAAGTTTATAGAATATTTTATCTTAATTTTCTCAATGACTCCTCTTTATAAATACTAGCCTCCATGATCATTCTCAACACACCACACCTCAATTCTCTCTCTTTCCTCCTCTATACTTATACCTCAATTCTCTTTTCTTCCTCCTCTCTACTTAGCTTTATTGGTTTTTTTTTCTTTATTTTCTTCATTTTTTACTGTTCTTGCATTTCTAATAATTTGTGAAAACTATTCAAAAAAAGTTTGTTGAATCTTGTGATAATAAGATATCCATTGGATATCGATGATATTTAAAACTTTGATCTCCTTTTTGCTCTTCGATCTTTTCGCATATTTTGTTTCATATCTTTTAAGAGGTGATGTAAAAAACTCTTAAATAAAAAAATAATAATTTATTAATATTAAAACCAAAAAATATAAATATTTTTAATAATAATTAATATTTTAATAAAAAGACAATATAATACTTCAAATTTTGGTCACATCCGATTTTTAACATTGATTGGAACAACTGTGATAACTCCTCATGTAACACGTGCAGTGAAGAGGAAATCGCAGTAAAACAACGTTGCGTTACTCAATCTAATTAATAATGATAATAGTTAAAAAAAAAAAACACTGAGCTCTAAATCCGATTCTCAGTTTGGAAAGGAAACGGTGCGTTGCATTTGCTTCTTTTGCCTTTTGCTCTGATTTTGAAATGTCATTGAGATACATTTTCCCGGCAAAATGGAAACATTACAGATGGAAGAATTTTTTGAAACTATACCCAACTCATCAACCCCAAATAATATCTACAAATATTTCTATAAATCAGTTTGTAAAGAGCGGACGATTAGACATGGCGCGGAATCTGTTCGACGAAATGCCAAGGAGAACCGTTGCGTCATGGAATACCATGCTTTCCGGATACTCAAAGTGGTGGAAATTCAATGAATCGCTTGATTTACTTTCATCAATGCATCGAAGCCATATAAGGTTTAATGAGTCCACTTTTTCCACTGCATTGAGCGTATGTGGGCGCCTGCGGTCTTTAACTGATGGAAAACAGATTCATTGTGTTGTTATTAAATCTGGGTGTGACAGTTTTGAGCTTGTTGGAAGTGCTTTGTTGTATTTTTACGCAAATTGTTTTGAGATCGAAGAAGGGAAGCGGGTTTTTGACGAGTTGCATGATAAGAATGAGTTGTTGTGGAATTTGATGATTGTGGGTTACGTGGAGTGTAGTTTGATGAGAGAGGCTCTTGACGTATTTATAAAGATGCCGAAACGGGATGTTGTGGCTTGGACTACATTGATATCGGGATATGTGAAGAGTGAAGAGGATTGCGAGATGGCTTTGGAGTTGTTTTGGTGGATGAGAGGGAGTGGTGAGGTGGTGCCTAATGAGTTCACTTTGGATTCTGTTATAAGGGCTTGTAGAAGGCTTGGTGATTTATGTGAAGGGAGGCTTGTTCATGGGATTCTGATCAAATATGGATTTGAATTTGATCAATTAATTGGTGGTGCACTGATTGAATTTTATTGCTATTGTGAAGCTATTGATGATGCTAAGAGAGTTTATGATGGCATAACAAATCCCTGTTTGAATGCTTCGAACTCACTCATTGGAGGGCTTATGTCGTTGGGTTGGATTGAAGATGCAGAACTGATTTTTAATAGACTAGTTGATGCGAATTCAGTTTCATATATTCTGATGATTAAAGGGTACGCAGCTTTTGGTCGAGCTGAAAATTCAAAAAGATTATTTGAAGAGATGGCTCAAAGAACAATAGTTTCTACTAACACAATGATTTCTGTATATTCTAGGAGTGGGGAGATTGAAAAAGCTATAAAGCTGTTTGAAGAAACGCAAGGAGAAAGAAACCCAGTAACATGGAATTCAATGATGTCTGGTTATATTGAGAATGAGCAATACAAAGAGGCTCTAATGTTGTATTGTACCATGTGCAGATTACAAATAGAGCATACAAGGTCAACATTCTCAGTTCTCTTTCATGCATGTTCATGCCTGAGATCTCTTCAACAAGGACAATTACTTCACGCACGTTTGATCAAAACACCATTTCAGTCTAATGCATATGTTGGAACATCTCTCATAGATATGTACTCCAAATGTGGCAGCATCACTGATGCTCACAAATCATTTTCCAGCATATCTTCACCTAATGTGGCAGCATGGACAGCTCTTATTAATGGTTATGCACAACATGGGCTTGGCTCTCAAGCTATCTTACTCTTTGAGCAGATGTTGGAGAAAGGAGTGGCCCCTAATGCTGCTACCTTCGTTGGAATTCTGTCTGCCTGTGGCCGTGCTGGTCTAGTAAATGAAGGGATGAGATTGTTCAGGTCAATGGAAAAATTCTATGGTGTGGTCCCAACTTTAGAACACTATGCTTGTGTGGTTGATCTTCTTGGTCGGGCAGGTCATCTGCAAGAAGCTGAGGATTTTATTACAAAGATGCCAGTTGAAGCAGATGGGGTTGTTTGGGGAGCTTTACTCAATTCTTGTTGGTTCTGGATGGACATGGAAGTTGGTGAGAGGGTGGCAGCGAAGATGTTCAGTTTGAATCCAAAGCCTATATCCGCTTACATAATTCTATCTAACATATATGCAGTACTTGGAAAATGGAGTAAAAAGATGAAAGTAAGGAAGAGGTTGAGGGACTTGGAAGTCAAAAAGGATCCAGGCTGTAGTTGGATAGAGCTGGACAACAGGCTTTTCGTGTTTTCCGTAGAGGACAGAAGCCATCCATATTGTAACATGATTTATGCCACCTTACAGCATCTGACGACAAATTTAAACTCCTTTCATATTAATTCATTTTGATTGTGAGTGTCATACCAATAAAAAGGCTGGCTATCCTCTTGCAACAGACAATAATGGATCAAGCTCTATTAACTGTTTTATCTAGATTCATCCTCTGGTGATTCTTTAATCATATGATCCAAAATGAGCACTAAGGTATAACTTTTTCCTCTCCTAGATATTTTCATATAGTTCCTATTACTATTGCAGGGTTATTATTATTCTAAATGCACATCATGGATGTCTTATTTGTGTTCTGTAAACAAAATCTTTGTTTCCTCACCTCTGATATCATGTAGTAAATATTCCCTTGCGGTTTCGAAAGAGGCATTTTGGGGCCTCTATTTCTTTAACATTTTAAATATTACTGTTTTGGAACTACTTCTTTCAATTCTTTTTGGCACATGTTTGTGTTAAGCGGGAGCTTGAAATGATGTTTTGCTAAAAACTATTTGAAGTTCTGAACTCAACAGTTTCTGTCATTCTTATTATCTGAATTTTGATACTCGACAATAGTGAGCTCCTTCAATGACTTGATCAGAATTGTCTTTTACTTTGTGTAAATGTTACAAATTGTTGTATCAGTTTTGCATAATAAATGCTGCCTTACAGTTCAGTTTCTTTGAGATTAGTTGGATAAACCATCAAATTTTGAATAATTTTATAGTTGGTCACTGATTGTTTTATTCTCAATATCTTCCAATAGATTGTGCAGAACTGCCTTGGAGATTTGCTTCAAGCAGAGAAGTTTTCTGATCTGGTGGTGGAAATTTGTCTGGTTGCCTCTCTATGGTTTTTCACTGGCATATTACTTACATAAAGATCTGAAATAATTTTAGCAACGACGGTGAAATATGTCCACGGTAGTAATTCTGCAGAACATTGCTTCTTTTCTGTTCTCAGTACAGTGCCAGTGCAATGTCATCACCTGATCAACCTCACTGGGACGGTTTCATATCACCACAATAGTAATTTTTGTCTCTTTTAGATTATATTATGCCCTTCATGGTTGTTTTGTGCTACATTTTTTTTTTAAAATCTTTTGCATCATGTCACTCTCATTGGTTGTTTTAGTTGCTAAGTCATCTTATAACCGAATCACATGTAAAACATTGCAGAAGCAACTAAATTCAGTAGCTTTGGCATTTCTGTTGGTTGGTTACAAGTTCATTAGGCAAGCTTTGACCAAGTTATCCCTCTCAAAAGCTACTGATGTATGAAGAATGCAAATTCCTTGTTGAAGAAACTTGTTGATGGTGAGGAATTATTCGGTTTTTTTCCTCTACATTTTTAGGATACATGATTAAGCTTCAAATATGGACTTTTTGTTTGTTTATGTGTCACTAAGGTGATTTACTTCAGGTATTATAAATTAATTTAGCTAATATTTTGTTAGCTTATCAGTCAATATTTTTGTAATTTAGTTGAAATTTTTCACAACATTAGTCTTCTGATGGAACCTGCTTCAGCTAGAATCTTCATATCAAATCTTATGCAAAAAATTAATAATTAATCAACTTCAGTGCTTAAATATTCAAATTTTGTTAGTATTTATTATCAGTGCACAAGTCCCAAAACCCCAATGGTTAGAACTTGAGACCTCTTTCTAGAGGTCTCAGATTCAAATGTTGGGAAGGAGAGGGTGGAGTTATGAGATGGGACAGAGCTATATCCCTTTGTGTAGCTCAAGGGCAAATGAGCTTTCACATTATTAGCATGCAAGAAAATCCATTTTATGCCTTCTAAGGGGTTTTCTGTTCCCATTTTTTTTTTAGCCGGGGAATGGGAGAGAGACTTCTTAAGCTGTAAGCCTATAATTGCTGCTTAGAATTTCATGTTGGCATTCTATTAAAAAATTTAGATGAAGTCTTGAGCTTGAAATGAGAAAATTACAGTGCTGTCATGTAGTAGATTACTCACCAATGAAAAGTTTTTAGGTAAAAGGCAAAACTGTATAAAAGCAGAATGGTCATTGATATTTATAGAATCATGTTGAAAGTAAACCTCATGGAATTATGATGATTAAAGAGACAAAACACCTTTTCAAGCATGGTGAATCTATTGGTCTTATCCTACCAACATTTCTCATCAGGTTGACTAACCCATTTCATTTTTTTAATTAATTTATTTCTTTATTTTTTGTTTATTGATGTTGTTTATTGTGTCAATTTAATGATATATATTTTAGAAGATTAATATCACATCTAATAATCTGGGCATGCATCTGTTTATTTTCAGCAGTATATGTGTACACATGCACCTTTTTATTTGTTTCCATGAAGAAATCTTGGAGTTAATTACTGAATAAAATAAATACTTGAGTTTTGTCTGCAAGGAAAAAAAAAGAGGGGGGGGGGGGGGGGGGGGGGGGGGGTTCGGGGAGGAGGGGAGGGGTGGGCGTTGAGATTCACATGTTCTTTTGCTCTTCCTTTCACTAAATAATGGTGTCAAGCACCAATCACTTTGGCTTGGCCATACATTTTATCACAGGGTGCTTAATATTTCTAAACATGGTAAGATTAGCAGCACTGGGAGGAAGAATTCAGTTAGATGCATTATCACGTATATCAGAAGTAATTTTTGTCAAAAAGGTCGTTAGGTAGCTACATGCACACTAATTGAATTTATATTGCAGATACTTCTAATCTTGGTGATTGAGATTGCTGGTTTGACCAAGGATTGCATTGAAGGCATTGTCTACTGGATAATAGGAGATCCCACTTGCAGAATATACTTCAATTGAAGCTTGCATTCTCTATTGAACAGAACTTTGTTGGCCGAGATAACTCATGAAATTCAAGGTCTTGAACGCAAAAAATACGGTGCTCCTGTTTGTTTTTTGGTGTTTAAGTTTGCTCTGATCATATGCAAAATATACTAACTGATTCGAATAGAGGTAATTAAGTTTTAACGGTTGCAACCTTTAGGTCTACTTGCCTATTATTATAAAGAACTGAAACACAGATAATCTATATTTTTTGGTACAAAAAAAAATCTAGATTTGTTGGTAAGGTGTGCCGTTGGGTTGTGTTGGTGTATTTTCAAAATAAAAGAATTATCTCTTAATATGGAAAGTTATCTGAATTCAAAGGTTATGAGACAATTGGAAAAACATCATAAATAAAAAGTTTGGTTTTATAGAATGAATGATTATCCTTTCATAAGGTAATATGAAAAGTTATCTTTTTATATTGTAATCTAAATGTTGTGTCTTATGTATGAATGATTGTAATTTCAAAAAGTAATTATTGAAACATCATTTTATCTAAAGATTATGTCTCAATGCAAAGATGTTTTTTAAACAAAGAGGTATGTTGTATTTTTAAAGATGAGACACTTACAAGTTTATATAAAAGATTTGTTGTCAACCATTTTGATACATCAAAATAAAAACAAAACAAAAGTAGAAAAATCAAGAGTAAAAAATGTATTGTATTTTGAAAATTAACATGAACAATTAAGTTTCCATCAATTATAAAAGTGTCTAAATTTCTTATAATCTATTTCTATAAAAAGTAAGTTCTAAGGTCGAATAACTTTAAAAACTTTCGGGTGTGTCTAACAATCTACTCTCGTAAAGTGTAAGATCAATTTAGATGTTGATTTCATTATATTCTTAAGGTTATTCACATTAAACTTTTCGCATATCGAGTGATGAAGGCGAAATAAGTCTTAAAGATAGCGTTTATTAAAAAGGCTCATCTTAAAATCAATTTTGTCGGTTCCTTAAATTTTATTTAAACCTTATTTGCACTAACAATTTTAAAACTTATTTTTCATGATGTTGGAATTCAAAATGGCTTCACTTAAAGAGATGGCTACCAATGTTGTTAAGCTAGATCACTTTGAAGGAAGAAACTTTATTCAATGACAGAAAAAGATGTGCTTCCTTATTACAACTTTCAAGGTTGCTTATGTTCTAAACATACCAAGACCAGATGAAAAGGTCATGAAGAATTCGTGAATCAAACTCATTTAAGGCAAAAATGGGATAATGGTGACTACCTATGCACAAGACACATTTTTAATGAAATGTCGAATGCACTGTTCGATACGTACTAGAATGAAGCTAGTGCAAAACAATTTTAGGACAAGTTGGAAGTAAGATACATGGCCGAAGATGCAAGTACTAAGAAATTTTTGATTAGTCATTTCAATAACTACAAAATGGTTAATAATTGTTCTGATATGGAGCAATTACATGAGCTTGAACACATTTTAAATAGCTTTAAGCAATATGGTCTTAAAATGGATGAAGCTATTGTGGTATCTTCTACAATTGATAAGCTTCCTTTTCATGAAAAGATACTAAGAAAACTCTAAAATACAAGAAAGAGGAAATGTCTCTTGAGACCTTTGGTAATCATCTTTGAATAGAAGAAGATTATTGCGAACAAGATGAAGTCAAGCAAGATGAAAAAGAAAAGGATTCTAATGAAAAGAATCTTAAGATTTCTAAGGTTCATGTGATGGAACACAAACCATCAAACAAGCCGGTCTCAAGCAACAAAAGAAAACATTCCGTTGGTATGAATGACAAAAGTCATAAGATCAAAAAAAAAAAAAAACAAAAATGGACCATGTTTCCATTGTAACAAACTTGGACAGTTCAAGGCGGAATGTAAACATTTGAAAAATAAGATACAAGGTGTGAACAACAAGAAGTTTGTGGTTATGGTTTGTGAGGCCAATCTTCTCTAAGATGATGGAGCATGGTGGATTGACACTGATGCAACTAATCATGTCTGTAAGGACAAGAGTTTTTTCAAGACTTTGAAAACGGTTAATGATAAAACCGTTCTATACATGGAAAATTCCTCCACTACACAAGTGAAAGTAAAAGGCATCATGGAACTCATGTTTACTTCTAAAAAATACTTGTACTAAATAATATCTATTACGTACCAAAAGTTAGAAAGAATCTTGTGTCGTGTGTTTTGTTGAATAAGTATGGTTTCAAATTAGAATTTGAAGTGAATAAGTTCGTTTTTACAAAAAGTGGACAATATGTGAGAAGTGGATACTTATGTAAAAACATGTTCAAGCTTGATATTAATAAAAATGCTACTTGTTCTACTTATATTGATGCCTCATTTAATGTTTATGATAGTAAAACAACATTGTTTAATTTATGGCATAATACATTAGGCCATGTTCATTATAAAAGAATCCATGATATGACTAAATTAAAGTTGATACCTGATATTGATAGAAATAATGATATGTGCAAGACATGCATGGTTACTAAAATCATAAGAAACTCATTTCTTAAAGTAAAAAGAAACTCATAATTGCTTGCATTTACACATTCCAATGTTTGTGATATGCACAGTACTCCATATAATGGCGGAAAGAAATACTTCATAATTTTTGTAAATGACTTCTTTAGATATTACTATGTTTACTTATTGCATGCTAAAGATGAAGTAATGGAGAAATCTAGAATATATAAAAATGAAATTGAATTGCATTATGAATTGCTTATCAAATGTTTACAAAGTGATAGAGGAGGTGAATATTATGATCCCAAGTATTTCGAGTCCATTGGTATTATTTATGAGATTACTGCTCCATACGCACTAGAATAAAATGGTATAGTGGAATGTAAGAATCAAGTTCGTATGAAAATGATCAATGCTTTGCTTTTTAATTTAGGTTTGGGAAAAGGATTTTGGGCCGAAACCTTATTAACGGTTTGTCATATACTAAGTAAAATCTCAAACAAAAATAGTAAAACTACTCTTTATGAGCTATGAAAAGGAAAAAGGCTAAACTTTAATTATTTAAGAGTTTAGGGATGTCAAGCCATAATAAGAGTTTTGGAACTAAAGAAAGGAAATTGGGTGAAAGAGGAATTGAATGTATATTTATAAGATATGCTGAACATAGTAAAACATATCGTTTCATGGTGACAAAGCCTAATGATTTATATTCCATAAATACAGTTATAGAATCAAAGGATGCTATCTTTGATGAACAATGTTCAATTCAATTCCAAGAGCCAAAGAACTAGTAATGGAAAGTGATAAACTTTCAAAAAATGGTGAGGAAATTATTGAGCTTCGAAGAAGTATAAGAATTAGAAAAGCAAAGACATATGGATTTGATTTTCTCATGTACTTAGTAGAAGGTATAAGAGAAGAAACATATGAATACTTACCTTACTATTTTAATGTAGAAGAAAAATGTGATCTTTAAACTTATGAGGAGGCAATGAAGTCTTGAGATGCTTCATTTTGGAGAAAAACAATACAAGATGAGATGAACTCGATAATGGGAAATAAAACTTAAAAGTTGATAAACCTTCCACCTAGTTCCAAGCCAATAGGCTGTAAATGAATTTTTAAAATGAAAATGAAAGCTAATGGAACTATACATAAGTTTAAAGTATGGCTAGTGGCCAAGGGCTTTAAATAAAACGAAGGTGTTAATTATTTTGATACATATATACTGGTAGCAAGAATAGTTACAATTAAAGTGCTTATAGCACTTGCTTTTATATATAAGATGGTAATTCACCAAATGGATGTTAAAATGGCATTCTTAAACAATGAATTAGATGAAAAGGTGTATATGGAACAACTTGAGGAGTTTTTCCTTCCTGGTCAAGAAAGGAAAGTATGTAAGCTCGTAGAGTCCTTGTATGGATTAAAACTAGGGCCTAAACAATGGCATCAAAAGTTTGGTGAAGTTAATCTAGCTAACGGCTACAAGATCAATCAATTTGACAAATATGTTTATTGTAAGTTCCATAATGGTAAAGGTGTCATCATTTGTGTGTATGTGGATGACATGTTAATCTTTCGTATTAATTTGGAACAAGTGGAAGACACAAAAGCTTTTTTGTCAAAGAACTTTGACATATAAGATATGGATGTGGTGGATGTTATTCTAGATATAAGAATAATCAGAGACAATAATGACCTAACATTATCTCAATCTCATTACATTGAAAAAGTTGTAATGTAGTATAGAAAGTCAAATTGTATGTCAATATTTACGCCTTATGATTCTAATCTAAAGTTAGTACCCAATAAAGACAAGCCAATAGCTCAAAATGAATATGCGATGGTGGTTGAATGCCTAATGTATGCTATGGTGTGTATAAAGCTAGGCATTACTTTTATAGATGAAATGCTAAGCCAGTTTACAAGTAATTTAAGTAAAGAACTTCAGTATACTGTTCATAGAGTTCTTATGTACCTAAAAAATACAATGAATTATGGCATTTATTATTCAAGTTTTCCTTCGGTTTTAGAAAGGTATATAGATGTTAATTGGAACCCAAATAGAATGAATTATACTTCTATGAATGGTTGTGTTTTTACAATTGGTAGGGATGCTGTTTCTTGGGGTTCTAAGGAACAATCTTGTCAAGCCAACTCTATCATAACAGCTAAATTTATAATTTTAGCATCTGTCACACAAGAAGTGGAATGGCTGAGAGATTTAATTTGTAAAATTTCGTTGTAGCCTAAAACCAATGTACTAATCTTGATATATTGTGACAATGAAGCTACTATATCAAAGGCATATAAACAAGCATACAATAGAAAAAGTTGATATATTGGACTTCTACATAGCATTGTAAGACAAAGAATTAGTGATGGTATAGTCACTATAAGTTATGTGAGGTCTTGTGAAAATTTAGCAAATCCGTTTACTAAAGGTCTGAAAATGGACTCGGTGATAAAGACCGCAAGAGGGATGTGTTTAAAGCTTATCAACTAAATCTGCAATGGTGGGAGCTCACCTCGGCACTTGTGGTTGACGTGCAAGTCTTGGGTACTGTCCATTCTACCACATGGGTGACTCCAAGTACTAATTTATATTTTTCATCTCAAGGTGTAGAATGCTTGGTTCCCGTAATGTGTAAGATAAGGTTGAACAAAAGTTTTCAATAGACCCATAACATGTATATATTGAAGTATTGTAATTACGAAATACTTTTGATAAGGGTTACCTATGTGAGTGAAAGTGTGGTCGCTTTTAAGAATTAAAAGCTTAACTCAACAACATTCATGAATGGATACAAAACACAAGGTTACAAAATATGTTGGCAAAACTAGATACAAAATGAGCAAGGAAGCTTGTGTGTGTTTAGTAGCCTGACTAGTTAAATGAAGAATCGATGATTAAATGCTTGGTTAACCACTCAATTCAAACTAGAACCAACCATACTCACTAAATGAAGGTTCAAATTTGTGAGATACTTTCATTTAAGCACAAAATTCTCAAAATTACTGGTATTTGAAAATTTTGAAAATGATAGGGATTGTTAGTGTATTTTCAAAATAAAAGAATTATCTCTTAACATAGAAAGCTATCTTAACTCAAAGGTTATAAGACAATTTAAAAAAATCACAAATCAAAAGGTATGTCATATGGTATGAATGGTTGTCCTTTCATAAGGTGATATGAAAAGTTATATTTTCATATTGTAACTCAAAAGTTGTGTCTTATAAATGAATGGTTGTTTTCAAAAAGTAATTATTGAAACATCCCTTTATCCGAGTAGAGTAATCATCAGTATTTTTTTTAATTTAAATGTAATTAGTCACTTTATTAAATCTATAATTTTTAATGAGATATCAAGTTTGACTTTAAGTTCATTAAAAGAATAGGTTATGGTCTACAAAATAGATTTGGATTTGGATTTGACCAAAGAAATGTAATAGCACATGCATATTAGAAAAATGATACGCACTAGCAACGTGTTATTTATTTTATTTTTGATAAAATAGTCCTTGACTTTATAGTTAATTTTATTTTCCTTAATTATTATGTTTTTTTCTTTTTTTTGTTTTTATTTTACTTTCTTTTTTTTCATTCATTATTTAAAATATTGGAGACTTTTTTTAAGTTTTCCCAACACTTTGAGAGAAAACTGAAAATAGCCTCCTCATTTCAAGAATATTTAAGACAATCACTTAATTCTTTAAAGAAGCTTCATCATCAAATTATTTTGATATTTTATGAAAAAAATTAATTAAATCCTTTCTTTTTTCTTGTTTCTTATTATTTTATATTTTTTATTTTTTTAAAAAAATGAAAATCCTTTGATATTAAAATTTTTCTAAATTCTCTTATGCTTTTTCGCAAAATTTTAGAAAATTTTCCTGACGTAGCAATTTCTAAGAAAATTGCCACTTTCAACTTTCTTAAATTTTCATCATTTGAGGATTGTATTTTTTATACTTTTTATTTTTATTTCTTTATTTCATTTTATTTTGTTTGAATAAATTAAGGAAAACCCTTTTTATTGAAAATTATTTAAAAATATCCGACATTTTTTTTAAAAATTTTAAAAAATTTCCTCACTTAAAAATTTTCAAAAAATTTTTCACTTATAACTTTCTTAAAATTTTATCACTGGTTGATTTCCATTTATATGCACAATTAAAATTAAATGCCTATGGTTCACACAAATAAATATCATGATGCAACTTTTAAATTACTAAATACTTTAATTACCACATATTTATTTTTTATGCAAGTTTCATAATTATTTAGAATTAATTATTTTAGCTTAGGAAAGCTTAAGAAAATTATCACTTGCAAGTTTCTTAAAAAATCATTTCTAAGAAATTTTTCTAAGTAATTATTTTTTATTATTAAATTTAAGTAATTAAAAGTTTTAGTTTTATAATCTCTACTATTCCTTGTAGTATTAATTAATATTTAATTTTCATTTTTATTTCATCGATGATAATGAGTAATTTACCATCAATTGCTATTATGACTTATGAGGTTAACAACATATAACATCTAATAAAGGTCAAATAAATAAGAGCTGATATTCAATTACCTTTATTTAAGTAAAGGTACATATCATAGCCTATTGATGTACACATTACAACAACATAATGTTTTTTTTTTTTTTTCTTTCCCTATACTTGGGATGGAAAGAGAATTGATTTTTTTATAAGAAATATAAATTTCATTAATTCATCAAATCAAAATACATATTGAGAACAATAATCATTTGACATATCAACTCTCTCAGTGTAACATAACTAACTTCCATTCCCATATATGATATAAAGACCTCATTAAAAAACCTTTCCATATAAAAACCTTGTGAGATAAAAATCATGAATAAGAGAAAAAAAAATACCCTCACCTTCATATAATCATCGAGATATTTACCTAAATCACCCACCTTGTAATATAATCAATTAGATGCATTAACATCTTTAAGCATAACATATTAGATATTACTACCATTCAAATGCAATACGACAGTAGTTTATGCTATCACCCTGAAAAAATTTAGGCAGTCTTCATTAAAGCTCCCCATCTTACCCGAAGCTTTTGTCCCTTTAATCCAACCAACAGCTATTTAACTATCCGTTTCAATATCGTCTGTTGTGGCACCCTCACTTCATTTTTCAAATTTAATTGTTTATCTTGTTTCATTAATAATGTTTGAAGCAAAAATATAGATAAAGGAAAGTGAAAAAGCATTTTCCTACAATGTAAATGGGCCAAAAGCCATATCCAAAAGGAGTTCCCTGACCGGTTCCATGTCTGCACCCGACAACCCGACCCTTTTTAGTGTCTATTACACCACCTCACCAGAAACATAGAAAGGAACGTAAGCAAGGTAGAAAATTACTTCCTGCATTGGTTGTCTGATTCTCCCCTGAAACTGAAAGTACTCACGAAAAAGATGTTGGTAACAACGTCTCTCCAACCAAATCTAAAACCCCCCTTTAAACCCTTGACTTCATTCCCTTCACAAAATTCAACCTTTTTCCTTCTTAAACCTCTTACTGTTTCTGCCAAAACCTCAAATTTTGCTAAACCAATGATCTCTCTACAAGTCAAAGCTAAAGCTCAGGTGCTCTCAGATGAACTGCCTCTGGATGATTCCCCCTCTGAATCTTCTTCTGATAAAGAGGTCAGTTTTTGGGTCCTTTTTTTCTTCCTTTAATTTTGTTTTTTTTTCCAGAAAAATTGGGTTTAATTGGATGAATTTTCTGCTATCAAGAGAAGCCAGCCAAAGTTTCTTTGCCCTTTTTCTTGTAAAACCCAGAAAAAGGCTTCATTTGTAACTTGTAGTTTCTTGGGTTTTTGTAATTTTGTCTGTTGGGATAATGTAGAAGCTTGGAGTGGTGGTGAAGCCATTGGAAAAGCCAAGGGTAGTGTTGAAGTTTATATGGATGGAAAAAGACATAGGGATAGCACTTGACCAAGTGATACCAGGGCATGGTACAATCCCTTTGAGTCCATACTATTTTTGGCCCAGGAAAGATGCTTGGGAAGAGCTCAAGGTTTTGCTTGAAAACAAGCCCTGGATATCTCACATGCAAAGGATTCACCTTCTCAATCATGCTACTGATATTATCAATTTGTGGCAGACAAGTAGTGGTAATTTGTCCTAGCTTTTCAATAGACAAAGTTTTGTTTCAAGCTTTTACATTTTTAAAGTTCTTAACATTAGGTGTAATCCATGTTTCTTAAATTGAGCTGGCAGAAATATGGATGATGTGAACTGAATGTTTTTGTGATAGCTTTTTAATGTGAATTAGTGCTTGATTAAACGTTCTTGGTGATATAATTTGATTAGCAACTTCTCTGACCATGCCCTTTTTGTTTCTAATTACAAATTTCATGGTACATACTTTCCTGTAATGTTTATCTATTTCAAGGGAAACAATTATTCCAAGGGCCAAAACAGACTAATTAGCCTAACAATCGGTAAAGGGCTGGCTGATCTTGGGGCTGAGGTTTTGAGGGATTAGTGTTGCTTGACTGACAAGATCTTTAACATCAACTAGTAGAGAAAGCAACTTCTCAATAGGCCGGCTTTAATCTTTGGGTCATATTTAGTTATCAAAAGGAAAAAGGGAAAAGAAGGTCTCATATTTTATTAAGTTATCTTGCATTCTTGAGTGTGAATTTAAACTAAATATCTGGAGAAGCATGTATCTATACAAAACCTTATCACTTTCTAAAATGAAGGGAGTGTGGAAGAGAGACAATGATGAATTTAATGAATACTGGACTTGTTAAAAATTCAATCCTAGCCATTTGGTTAAAATTTTATGGCGGCTTTTTGGATACATCAATGCATTTGCATATCTTAAATTGTGCAAATCTTACCTGTTAGTAATTGCAGTTGTATCAATTATTTTGAATATGAACTTCTACTCTGCTTCTATATATATTTTTTTGAAAGTCCAACTCTGCCTTTACATACATATGCCTTAGTCAAAGTGAGTTCTTTGCTCTTTTGACGTGTATCTTCTTCAACTCCTATAAAAGAAAATGTTCTCTATCACTCTGCCAACCACTTTAAATTACCTTCTAGACCTTTCTTACTTTTTGCCCTTTTTTTTCTCCTTTAAAGTGCAGTTACCCTCTCTTATCCTCCCTTTAACATGCCACTCTGGCTTCCAGCCTGTGGAATAACCATTTAATGACACTTTGCAGAGCCTGGGTTTGTCATCATAGTTTGCAATGTTTATGTTGGAATGTGGTTCTTTCCAGTTGCTGGTGTTATTTCTCTCAAGTTCACTTTTATTATAGCTGCATATTGAATCCATCCATGTCTGGTGATGCTCTCAACTTTCAGTTCTTATGGGAAATTTTCATTTCTTTGAATCATTTAAATATCCTGTCTAAGGTTTTTTTTTTCCTCCCTTAATGTAGGCACCTGTTTGTAAGATATATAGTGAAATCCTTAGTGATCCTGCATTAGACTAATATCACTAGAAGACCGAAGATAGACTGACATGTAGAAGTTTGCTAGGTGCAAAGTTATTCCTCTTATTGCAAGCTGAATTCAAGGTTCAACCTGAGTTGTATAAGCTGTATAATGTTCCTCTTTTATTAGTGAAACCTCTTCTTTTTTAACTAGAAGTTCTAGAATCAGTTTCATCATATGGATAAATCAGATTCTTCTGATTAAGTTATCAAGAGTTCAATGGCAGCTTTTATAGGCTGCTGATTCTAAAGCCTTTAGAGCTGCTGCCGCTACATCCCTGTACTTTCTTGCAAGCGCAGGCCTTAATAACTTTTGTTCAGGTTCATTCCTTCAGGCAAACCAATTGGTATTATCTTTGAGCTCAGAATCATCATCTAAGCTAGCGGATCTTTTATCCTGCTTTTTATTGACGTTCTCCTGCAACCATCAAATGTTTGTGCGTGGATACCAAACATTCTCATTTGATCTAATAGAGATGATCAAATTTCCTACCTCAACAGCCACTGGGCAATGTCTGTCTTCCTCCAATTGCAAAGTCAGAACGTTCTCAATGATCGTCTGTTTTAGCACCTTGAATTTGCTATCCAAATTCAAAGCTTGGTTGTTTAATTTGTTTGAGGGATTGTTCCTATTTATGTATTGCTTGGGAAGAAATTGAATCATGTATTTCTGATAAGTTATTTCAAATGTGCTGGGAGTGACACATATTGACCAATAAATCGACCTTGCAAGGCTTCACAAGTGAATACAGTCATCTAAACCAATTTCAAAACTTTCTAATGAACAAGGTAAAGGTAGTTCAAAAGGCTAATGTAATACTTACAGCTATTCATTGCTTGAGACTAAGGACCAACATTTGCACTAACAATTATACTTACAGCTATTCGTTTTAGCTTTTACGTCTGCGAACGAGTTTACAGTTAAATGCTTACTGTTGGAGTTCTCCCAAAAAAATTCAATTCTCTTGCATAAAACTCCTTCTGAAGTTAAGAGAGATCATCAGATTTATCTCCCGAAATCTGAATGTCTTGTAAGAGTTCAGAAGCGTACCTCTGTAAGAGCAGTAAACACCAATTTTAGAAGCAAGCCATACAACTGACTGATAAATTCCAAGGTAGAGGAAAATGAGAGCCTACATACTGATTTAAGTATTCTGTGGTATGTTCTAGTGTTGTAGATGTAACAGTATAACGTGAAACCATTGGAATAGATGCCTTACCAAGCTAATTCTAGTTCTGGCACCAATGATCTTTGAACCATTTATATCTTCCAATTCTTACTTCTAATTGAGAGTTCCAGTACAATGACAGAAACTCACTGTTTATTGGAAAAAATTGATCTTTAAACGTCAAATTTGGTAAACAGAAACTGGTACACCATGTTCTCCCAAGAGAATATCATTGCCTGCTGAAGTACATGAAATCTAATCTGATAAGACTTCATATTGGGAGGTATGTTAATGTTTTCATTCTGAGGTTTGAGATGTGGACTTCCTCGGGGATCCTTTCTTTCCCATTGCACTAATAAAATGCATTTCCCATTCTCTCAAAATCAAGTTTCATGTAAACCTATCTTGAAGTGGTTGTGAGTGAAAACCAACCGCTGACATGGTTTGGAGGTAACTTTTTAACCTTCTCGAATCTTTATCACCAAAAGATGAAAAGAAAATAATATCCTGGCTATTTTTAACAGTGAACTACAAAGAAGACATTAATAATATATTAAAAGGCTATCCATTAAAAAGAAAATAATTGGGTAATGTAACATTTCGAGTAGGATAATCCAACTCTTTGAGAGGAAGATAGTTGCTGGGAACAGCATTTAACTCGTGCAGTAATAGTGAGAGGCTACCCGTACATAAGAAGACCTTCGGGGCTACTGTCGGAGTCTGAATCTAACTAACTATTTAACCTTAGTAATTAATTATTTATTTAACTAATTATTTAATTATTTATGTAAAAATCTTAATTAATTTAAATAGTTTTTAACTATCTTCAATTAACTAATTTAATTATTTGACTAATAACTAAGACTTATAATTAACTAATTTTAAACTATCTTCAATTAACTAAATTATTTAATTACGTTATTAGCATAGTAATTAATTAATTTAAATATTTTTTAAGTTAAATAATGTTACTTATTTAGTTCATTGCTTAATAATTAATTTACTTAATTCCATTTTATTTGTAAAAATTATTTCCATTTTGCTTAATTACCAAAGTTTGCTTAAGTAATTACTAGATTTAATTATTAACTAATTTTTAATAAACAACTAAAACCTAAACCAGCATTTTTTTGATTGAATTTTCTTTGCCAACAACTATATCCTAAACCATAAACTCTAACAAACGAACAACAAAATGCCAACAAAAATAAATTATCAAGAAAAACCCCAAAACAATAATATGGCAAAATTTTGTAAATTAAATCCTAAATGCACAATAAACAAAACCTTAAATACTCAAATAAAAAAAACCTCAAATATTCAAACAATCAAAACTACGAATCAATGGCAGGAATTCGTTCATGGTAGAATGTAACCCAACTTGATCAAAAGGAAAAGGATGATCGGCAGTGGCAGGGACTCAATGGTGGTCAGTTGGCTGCAGCTGTGAATAGGGGCTGGCTTCTAGTCCAGGTGGTGGTTGACGCAGGTCGCTAGTCGCCGCGTGTGGCTCGTCGACAGATGGGAGGAGGCACTCAAGTGCGGTGAAGGGAAAGCAAAAGGGAAAGAAGGGAACGCAAGAGAGTGAAAAGAAAGCAGAAGGGAGAGATGAGAAAAGAGTAGAGAACTGAGAAGAAGAATCCCAAGCAAGGATTTTATTAATATCACCTACAGATGATTCCGTTGGTAATTAAAATGGGATATATTAAGGTAAAACCTCACGTACGAATTTTAAATATGTATTGCCGACGAATATATTGACAGAATACTCTGTTAGAAATTAAAAATTAATATTGACGGAATTTCTGTCGACATATTCGTCAGTAATGTTACCAGCGCCTAAACCAAATTACTGACCACTATATCTGTCGGCTAAGTGGTTGGTAAATTCCGTTGATAACTTATTACTGACAGAATAGGTCCATCATTAAACTTCTTACCCTTTTACGATTTATACGCGTCATTATATTATTGATAGAGTACCGATGGATCACATTCTTTTGAAATTTTTTGTCGATATTCTGTCAACATTTCTTACCATCTTCTTCTGTCAGTATTCCGTCAATAATTGCCGGCGGAATTGAATTAGTCAGTAAAAGCTGTTCTGTTTATGTAATCACAGTTTTTCTTCTTCTTATTGTTTGTTTAATTTTCACAGTTTTGCTACGCTAAAGGATGGTAATAGCAAATAATAAAAGTACATGCAACAATCACAATAGGCAAATGTTTCAAACGAAGTGTTACCCTCCGCCCCTCGATGGAAGATTATTTTGGTACCCGTTCAAAAGGACTTTGTCTCATCTTTAAAAAATGTAAGCTGTGGGTTTGCTTCAATTCGATCTTAAATATGGTGATATTATTTGGTTTATTTATTGATATGTAATAGTTATAATTAATGGACACATTGACAGTTTGTTAGATTTCAGCTTTTTTATCATAAAAATAAAGGAAAATATGCTTAAGTACAAAAAAATATATGTTTTCTACGAATAAAATAGTTTTTATTTTCAAAATATATATTGTGAATAATTTTTTTAAAAGGAAAAATATATTTTATTAATGAAAGATAGATAAGAAAATCTAAACCTGGCAGTTCATGTTGTTGTGTTTTCATTGTTTCTTGTAAATATAAAGCATTAGTAATAATACCGGTAAACACGTACATGACACGATTAATTAATCATATTAAAATTTTAAACACGTATATGAACATGTTTAATAAATTTATAATATGATACAACTATCACATTTATTAAATATATTGGGTTAAATTTTATATGACACGAGATGATTTATTTACATCATCAACACAATTAAAATTTATATGATGTATAACATGTTTATACGATTAACATAAGTGATGTAATTAACTTGACTAAAACATAATTAAAACAATTAAATTAACATATAATTCTATTATTCAAATTTACAATAAAAATTTATAAAAATCATATTATTTATCAAATATAATAAAATTTAAAATCAATAAATCTTAATTATTATAAAAATATTAATCACTGAACAAGTCTTAATGTGCAATCGACATGTTTACTTGACATGTGAACATTGTGAACACCTCATTTTGTTCGAACTTGATTTCTTTTTATTATTTTTATTTTAGTATATTTAATGACTTTTTATTTTTTTTTAATTTCATTTAATTTTTAATTTTTCTATTTATTCTTATTTATTTTTATTTTCTTATAACTGAAACGAATAATGGGTCTATGACCCAATCTACCAACTGCTCTACAAGCCCAATTTAGAAAAAAAAAAAAAAGTGAAGCATTTATGGCCATGGGTTCCCACATAATAATAAAAAAAAAGAAATTAAACATTTAGAGTCTGTTTGATAATCAAAAAATAATTTATTAAGAGAAAAAAAATTTTGTATAAAATATTTTACAAGAAAATTTAATATTTTTTATTATTTAGATAAATTATGAAAAATATTTTTTGATTGTTTGGATCAACTTATAGAAAATATTCTTCATTATCATTCATCTTTAAACAAAATTTCTATCTTAAAAAATAATGCATGTCTGACCCATTTCAATACCAAAAATTTAGATAACCCTGTTCAAATATGAAACAACCAAAATTTAGATAATAATGCTATTAATTTCGAGAAAGAAAGAAAACTTATCTAATATTTCGATAAAAAAAAATAGTTGTCAACTTCTCTTTTAAAGTCAATTATCTCGAAATTTCTTTCTATTTTGTTGCTTTTGTTACAAATCACTTTACCCTCTCAAAAAAAAAATTAAACTCGATAGCCATTTCTTTGAAGGAACTCTGACTGGCTATTATCGATCATATATAGTCTGAAAATAAGACTAAAAATTGTTGTTGCATGTGTGTGTATGGAAAGTTATAAAAAATCAAAAGGAAATGGTTTCAAGGCACGCTGCAAAATGCCGATCTCCTTGAAACTTATTTTGTCCCAACCATTTACAGTGTCCATCGAATTTAATCAAATAGTCTTAAAATATAATGAAATCTTGTTTGATTACATCTTACATTGATGAAATCAAACCACTAAAAACTTTCGAATAAGTAGAAAATTATCAGTCTTACGCAAGATTAAATTTCTACAATGAAATAATGCGTAAGAGAATTATTCTTTCTGGATGATGATGATGAGGATTGTTTCATGATTTTTATTGTGTTTTGGAAAGTTGTCTAACTTGGCTATTAATTGAGAATTCCTCAAGAGACACTTCTTTTGAATGAGAGGTTAATTGTTTTTTTAAGAGAACGTAGCTTTTGGGCCTCAACTAATGCCTTTAGCATCCCTTAACGAAAGAAAGATGATTCTTCCGATCACCTGGAAATAGAAACTAGTTGTTACAAACTTGAAATTAATATTTCTATTACTTTAAAAATAAGTTAATCAATGTTAATTGATTAAGCATACCTAAAGTTTTTAACTTTGGCCTCTATTTCACATTAATAGATTATCATTGAATACTAATCAATCCTGAAACAAGAGAGGAGATTCGAATACTAAACATCAATCCTCTCAATTTAAACTTAGCTTTCCATGTCTCTCTTTCGCCCCCCTCCTTTTCTCAATTTCTCTTGCTTCTCAATTATTAATTAAGCATATGTTTAAATTTAATACATTTAGTATATATTAAACATAAAGCTTTCATATAAACACAAAGTTAATAATTCATATATTTAATGTGAAAGGATTGTGTTTAATATATATTAATATGCTAAATACTTTACATAACTATCAATTATTCACATAATGCTTGCATATAAATACAAAATTATGGCATGTGTTAACCATGATAGTTAAATTTATATTTTAATATCTTCAAAAAAAAAAAAAACTTTTGATCCAAATCTTATGTTTGAACATGCTGATTGCAGGTAAAGGGTATGTAGGCAAAAACAACAAAGACTCACGACTTATTTTAAAAAATAAATTAATTAATTAAAATAAAACGAGAACAAAAAATTTTCTAATTTCTTTGATATTGATTTCCAGTATAAAATCATAATCTAAATCTAGAAGGCATACCAAAAGTTATTTGATAAAAAAAAAAAATTGAAGAGATATTAGCGACCAAAATTTCACAACTAAAGAAAAAAAATCAGATCCGACGCTCTCTCCTAGTCCTCATTGACACCCACTTTCTGTCTATATGTGAATGCTTAGAATGCAATTGCTCCACAAAATTCAAGCTCTGAGTGTTTGTCAGATTTGGAGATTGATAAGGAAACTTGCTTTCATCCTTATTGAATTCTTCATTCTGTCTAATATTTTGGTCTTCATTTGTACTTGAGCTCAGATTATTAGTAGAGCTTAAGTCATGAGACTTCGGCCTTTGTGTCTCATCCTTTTCCTTCTCCCTATCATTATTGACTAGATCAATAGCTAATTCATTACCCAAATGTTCATTCTGTCTCAGTTGGTCCGAAGACAGTTTCTTCTCAGTTGAAATGTCTACATCAGAATCTGAACTTGAAGTAGAAAGTGCCCTTTCTATCCATACTCTCTGTTCGATCTCTTCAATTTCATTGAGCTCGAGGCCATTGTTATTTTTTGTCACGTCTTCACCCTCTGATTCTGAACTATAGTTGTCAATGGGATGGATCTTTTCAAATCCTAATTCATTGTTTGAGTGCTCAATTCCATCTGAAGATGCATTCCCTTGAAATTCAGGGGCTGCTGATGCATCAGAATCATAAAATGCTCCTTTCTTAAGGCTGGGGCCTCCCTTTTTATGGGTAGAACCACTTTCATCATCTGGATCAAAGTCTTGGGATTCAGTTCTTGAGAGTTCAACAGCTGCTCTTGCAGCTGCTGCTGCATAAGCTGCTGATTCAAAAGCCTCTTGAGCAGCTGCAGCTACATCTCTGTACTTTTTCCTTGCTTTTATAGACTCAGACAACTTTTCGTCCAGGTTCATTTCTCTAGGCAATTCAATGGCAGTATATTTGTGCTCAGGATCATCCAAGTTGGCTGATTTATTAGCAGTGGACTCATTCTGCTTCTCATTGACATCCATTTCCTCCTGCAGTTATCAAATATTGCTATTTCAGAATCAAACAATAACGTTTAGTTTGTTAGAGATTGCTGTTTTTCTTTTGATTGCAAGTTTCCTACCTCTACAACCACTGGACTATCTACCTCCAGATGCAAGGCGATACCCCTCTCGGAGGCAATCTCCTTCAGGACTTTCAATTTGCTTTCCAAGCTTGGTTGTCGTGTTGAAAGCTTCTGTACTATCTGTCGAAACACCAGAGACAGTAATAAGAACAAATGCATTTTCCAATAAAGTCTTTTACCTTGAGGCATTGATTGAACTCCTTACCTTAGGATGCACACTGCAATTGTTGCGTAATTCAACGGCACGAGCAACAAATTCTTTCCCAAACGTGGATGATACAACCCCACGAATGTGGAGAAGCTCAGGGAATTCTCCACATCTTGATGATGCAAACATCAAGCTTGATGTTGCCTCCTTGAGCTCATCAGGGCATTCCCTGTTGTAGAAACAGGCAAATTTAAGATACTCCGATGTTTGAAAATTTATCCATCAAATATTATAACCAAAAGTATTACCATGTGCATAACAAATTAATCTTACTTGTTCTTTTGAATGAGCATGACTCTCTCTATCAAGAGATAAAAGTAGCTTTCCATTATAGTTAATGCATCCACCAGATTCTGCTCTTTGATCACATGCTCTACCTGTTCAAAAGTGCCCCATCAGATCCATCTTGCTCAAGAACGAGAAGCAGCCCAACAAAGGGAAAGAGAGAGGTGAAATTAAACTTACCCGCAGAAGGGCTCGTTCTTGGTGACCAAGGTTGAGGAGGTCAATAACATCAGACCTGGCATGGGAAAACCGGACTTGGTGCTGGTTCTTGAGGATAGCAATCCTAGATACAGCAAGTTTAGCAAGAGTTTTAAACTTGGAGGCCTTGAAGTTTCTTCCAAGCAAAGCATCCAATTTCCTACCCATGTTTCTGCCCTTGCCTGCCTGCCTTTTGTTTGTTCCAAATATTCCTGAACAAAGCCTCACAGCGTGTCAGAAACAGAGTACTTGCTTATAAATGCGAGCTTGTAAGGTTGCTGTGATGTTTTGGGCTATGCAATAACAGTGAGTCAAGCACGTGTCAGCTGTGGGTTTGTTAAAATAGAATATGGTGTTGAAATTGAGGCCTAGCATGCAACTTTCCATTGCATTTCCTTTGCGTTGAATGAGCCAAAACAGGTTTGGTCAATCGGTGGGGGCTGCTTCTTTTCTCTAGAAAAATTCTGGAAGATTAATAAGTTGCAGGTGTGCTTAGTTTACATGCATAACATAGAAATTTTCTCGGTCCATATGCTGGAAATTGTCAACTGCCGAGGAAAGTACAACACGGAATATACAAGTGTCAAATGTTTTTTTCTTTTGTTTTGTTCATGTTTCAGCTTGACAGTCTTCAAAGCTTTTTCTTTTCAAAATTAACTGTTGGTAAAAACTTATTCTTAATTTCCAACACCCAGTTTGGCAAAATAGACTCTGGTTGTAAAATCAAATTTCCCTTTTAATTTTCTTAGATTAGGAAGAGAAACTAGATTTCATCAAGGAACGTACAAAATTTTTCTTTCCCAATTCGGTTTTTATAATTTTTTATATACAATAAAAAATATTTTTTCATGATGTTAATAGTTACTTTGTAATTAAGTACTTTACATTACTCAATCTAATTAAATAAAAGTAAAATACCATACAATGAGGTTCAGATTATAAAACTGCTATTAGTCATAGGTTTAGATAGAGTTTTGGTAACTCAGTATCCAAACTCGATTATAGATAATAATTTTTATTTTTAAATATATTATTTTTTATTTATAAATTTAATATTTATTAAAATTTATTAATTATTTTAATTATGATTTTAAATTTTAACTTAATTTTTTGAACTAACTTTAATTTAAGTTTTATTAATAATATACCTAAAAATTTATTTAAATCGGTTATTTAACAAGTAATGTTTAATATATTCAAATACAAATTTAAATAACAATTAAAACATTTAGTTAAATATTTATAATATTCGAGTACTCTATCAAACAATAATTAAAGTCACATATCTATCTTACCTCTTCTAAATCCTGACATTAATGGATGAGTATTATTTTACAAGAAATGAAAGATCAATATTAAAATCTGATTTATTCAAAATAATATCTTATCAGGATTTAGTAACTTGATTATGTATAAAAGCCATTCACTATGTGAGTGCATCAAATATTAACTAAAATACAAACCTCTGACTAGGGATCTCAGGTTCCCTTAGCAAATACATATCTTTTATGGTTTGGACCTTACGTGGTATTTCCCAGAAAGACAACAATCGGAAACCTTAACGACCTTCTCGGCTTGATGTATATCAAAGAATAACAAAAGCAGCTAAAGATTTTGCATCATTGAAAGTTGAAAATATAGAAATTTAAGCGCTTGAAGTCAATCTTTAGTCATTAAAAATGTCTGTGTTTGATTTGAAAAACAGAGGAGAAGAACCAATCCCAGAAGAAACTGCTATGGGTGATTAATGAAACTTGCGTGACCACAGCTGTCCTTGTACTTAGTAAGACGTTCAGACCACCACCGTTGATGGATGGTCCTGTCCTTGTATTTGGTAGGACGTTCAGACCGCCACGGTTGATGGATGGTGCTGCTCTAATAAGAAGTCTCCGTTCTCTAATCCATATTATATTCCATAATAAGGAGATTAATCTAGGCTTTGGTTACTTGGATTGTTAGATTAAACTTCCATATGGACCATTTGTTGAATATCAAAGAATTCGCTTAACTTGCTAAAACTGTAATATGCTAATTTGGTGTTTATGGAGGGTCTCAATCTGTACTTTGCTTTGCTTTTCCAGAACATCCTATGGACTGAGTCAAAGTTAAGATGCTTTATAAGGATTCTGATAATGATAGTTTTCAGTCTCAACTTCTCTTCTTATTGGTTGTGATTTCGTTTTTCTTTTTTGGTGGTGGGGGCAACGCCATGGACTTTGAAATTATATTGAGGTGAATTGTACTGTATTGTCTTAAACTAACAGGAGAATGGCTAGTCTGCATTGACATTTTTAGCTTTACTCCAATGTCTTGTTCCCACTATTCTCCCAAGTCTCATCTCTGGAAAATTTTGTATTTTTGCTTCATAGAATATGAAATAAACAATCCACAGATTTCATAGCAATATTCATACAACTATTGTTACAAAAAATAAGAAATGAAAGCAGAACAAATCAAACACCATCAAAAAGGCAGGCTAGACTATAACTCTCTACTTAGCAACATTACACCTTGAACATCCTGCCCAGCATAAAAGGAAAGTGAGCCTGTGTTGAAGCTTTAAAACCCAAAAAATCAGAAAACCCGAAAACAAACAAAGAACTGAGGAAGCTTTTAGAAAAGAAATTGAAACCCACTCATTATCATTTTTATTTCATTTCAAATATATATTTATTTTCCAAGAATAACGGTTTCATAGATCCAGTCTTGGGAGGCTAAATCACAATGATTCAGCTGAAGCATAGAGAACAATGAATTATTTTCTATGTAGAGTCGGACACACAAGCTGTTAAGCCGACAGTCACAATCATCAAAATGGCACACTAACAACACATTCAATACAAAATTAATAACTCATACGGCACAAGCAATTGCCGTTTCAACTAACTAAAACATAAAAACTATAATTGACATGAAAAAAAACCGTTTTACACAAACCAAATAAAACTCAAACTAAAAACGACACTGATGGTCATCGTTTAGTCAAGCAACAACCATTTTCATCATTTGAGAAAAACTGTTGATTTCCACCTCTTGATAATCACCGGATTCAAGATCAACTCACTAACACAACCCTTGATCCTTAAAATGGAGAACTCTTAAGCATGTTCTCAAATACTCAAACCTCTCCTTGCCCAAGCTTTTGATGAAAATGTCAACATATGGTTATCTTTGACTAATTCCCTTAAGCCATGGCACTTAACTCTTATGTGCTTTGTGCGATCATGTTGAACAAGATTCCGAGCTATGGCTATAGCAGAAGAGTTGTCCACATATATGAGAGTTCCCCTATCAAAATCAAAGCTCAATTCAACCAATATCTTCCTTAACCATAAGGCATGATTTGCAGCAGTTGCACAAGCTATATACTCTACTTCAGTTGTTGACTATGTCACCACTTGTTGCTTTTTTGAATTTCAAGCAAATGCAACACTGCCAAACGAGAAGCATAAGCCCCTTGTATTTTTGGAATCATCGAATGATCCAACCTAATCGCTGTTTCAGCAACCAATCAGTTCATCAATTTCTTGCTTTAGATACATTAATCCAAAGTTAAAAGTGCCCTTAACATACATCAAAACTCTCTTTGTAGTTGTAAAGTGAAACTCAAAAGGCTCTTGCATAAATCTGGAAAGTAAACATGTAGCAAAAGTTTTATCTGGCTTAGTAGCAAACAAGTATAATTGGGACCCAATAAAACTTCTATAACTCTACCCATCAGCTTTTGCATAACCATTTTCTTTACTGAATTTTGCACCAGTACATAGAAGAGTACTGATAGCCTTATAGTTACTCATATTAAATCTTTTCAGTAAATCCTTTGCATATTTTGTTTGATGCAAAGTTCCTTGGTTTTCAACCTGCTCAACCTCCATGCCCAAAAAATAAGGCATTGCTCCCAAATCAGTCATCTCAAACACTTTCTTCATCTGTTTCTTAAACTCAGTTAAATACTCACCTTCTAGTCCAGTTTTCAAGTGATCATCCACATATAAGGCAATTACCAGCAGCAAGGATCCATTCAAACTGTTCACATACAAGGTTGATTCATTAATGCTTCTTTGAAACCCCTGGCTCTTGAAATAATCATCTATTCTGGTATGCCAGGCCTTAGGAGCTTGTTTTAAGCCATACAAAGCCTTAATTAGCTTACATACCTTAGTTTCATATCTTACTTGTATGTATCTTTTAGGTTGCTCAACATATATGTCCTTTGAAAGAATACCATTAAGGAATGCTGATTTAACATCGGGATGAAAATATTTTCCACTTCTCCCTAGCAGCCAAGGCAGCAAGCAGCCTTTTAGTATCAAGTCTTGCTACTGGAGCAAAAGTTTCCATGTAATCAACCCCATAAAATTGAGCATAACCTTTCACAACCAGTCGAGCCTTGTATTTGTTTATAAAACCATCAAGATTCAACTTGGTTCTATAAATCCACTTGACCCCAATAACATTCTTGTCAACAGGTCTGTCAACTGGTTTCCCAATTCCATTTTTGGTGATCATCTTCATTTTAGCATTCATGGTTGATTTTCAGTGGTTCTCAAAGTATGCATCTTTAAAATTAGAAAGCTCAGTTATTGCAACATTGCATCTGTTGTAAATATCTAATAAACTCCTGGTGCCTCTTACTGCTTTACTTTCATCTTCCAAGTCAGATTCATCATCATCAGTCTCATTTCGCACAAGATTTTCATCAACAGTAGGTACAACGTCAACCTTTCCACTACATGAATTCATCCAATTCTAACTCTGCCCCTAATCAAAAATCACATCTCTGCTAATAAATATTTTTTTCAACTTCACATCATACAAAATGTAACCCTTAGAGACCTCACTGTACCCCATTAGTATTGTAGTAACTGATTTAGAATCCAGTTTAGTCTTTTTACTATTTGGGACCTTTGCATAGTAGACACATCCAAATGTTTTGAAATGAGAGACTGTTGGTTGTGGCCAAACCACATTTCATAACGTGTTTTCATATTTTAAGCTCTTGTATATACTTTGTTGAGCATGTAGTTAGTTCTGCCCAAAATGCCCTTGGTACACTCATCTGAATTACAAGCACCTACCCATTTTTGCTAAGGTTCTATTCTTTCTTTCTGCTTTTCCATTCCATTGGCTGTATGAGATGGTAAGCTATGAACTCCAAAGCTTCAAGATATTTTTTAAACTCAGCTGAAGTGTATTCTCTCCCATTGTCACTTCTCAAGG